TAGAAACCAATCACGAGGAATCACACAAGATTCATATAAACTACGCAATACACCCGCCAAATCACGTAGCAGATTGCAAATTAACCCGACAAAGTATCAAGTGAGGGACAGCAGGTAATGTTGCATAGCAATCCGACGCGCTGAACAGAGCGAACTCAAAAAACGTATTCAAAGCTGGATTAAAAAGTTACAAAGAGCTTCAGGATGGATGTTAGACAACTCAAGCGATGCTGGGAACCACATGAACTGTACTTCAGTCTTCTGCTCAACATTCTAGCCACCTGTCTTCGGAGGTTATGGTTCCACTCACCATCGACTTCTTTCGACATCCTCAACAAGCCGAAATAGTTGCCGACTGTTACCCAACACTGATGCCTTCTCCATCTCTCCTACAATTTAGCCACCCATTGTTTGCGATCGACAGTCAGTTTGCATTAGAGTCGCTTCTGCTCTTCATCGTGGTCACAGCCAACTGGAATCAGTCTTCTCGCACCAATCAATTCGGACAACGTCGAGGCAATTCAGTAGCGTTTGCTAACCTTCGGGTGTAGCTTACCGATTGTCCCCACCGCTGTTTCAACAGCAGACTTAATGTCACACCAGGTTTTCTCAGGATGACCATTGCAGTCATATTCAGATAAATGCTTAGCAATTTATTCTCTAAATACATTCTTGATGCCCTTGTCTTCTAGTCTACCATGCTTTGCTATCGTTCCCTGCGACTAGTAAGGCACAGACATACTTCGTCACTGGTTTGCTGCCAGAGAATGCTCTGTGAAACAGTCTGTTATTGGTCTGTTGGCATGGCATTTCAGACGTCTACCAGGTACCTTTCCTACTGGCTCAGCTTTCTTACCTGAGCGTTGAAATCGTCTGCTATTACGACTATATCTGAACGATTTGCTCCCCTTTGCAGTAGCATTCTACATCCTTATCGATGATCTCAGGACCAGTGTTTCTCTGGCTCGAGTATCGGCTATCTTCGAAACTATCGAACAAAAGAACTAATGGTTGAACCAACTCAGCATGAACGTATGCTTCCCTTAGTATGGTCAACGAATAGAACCTTGTACCTGAACAAGTGGTATCAACTACCACGGTGAACGCATTCAATGAAATGGGATCTTCACAGTGTAACTTACTTCAGGGAGTAATACAAACCAGAATGGTCTGGGAATGTCAACAAACTGTAGAATTAGGGGGTCTACTTCCCTATAATGAACTTACCCTTTCCTTGACTCCCATCGTATTTGGAATCATGGTTTCCGATGATTAATAAACGACGTTATTCAGGGTTGTGTGCGGGAGTGATCACTTCGCACTTTTTATAATCTCCCCCAGTAGCACAATGGTAAACAGTGCTATTCAGATGCTCGAAATCAGCTTGTGCGAAGCCAGAGAACAATCAGAGTCAAGTGTGTGAATCAGTGTCCCTGAGACCGGGCGTTTTAGTACCACAACCCATTATATCATAAACCCAATCGATTTCCGTAAGTACTCTGACATGTATACCTAGACCAGTTTGGAGGATGAGTAACTAGCTAGTACTTCGACGTTCTTTACCCAATCGGCTGGAAGCTAATTGATAAACATCATTCCCATAGATGAGAATCACTACCCACGGAAAAATTTCCGGAAACATCTCTGCCTTGATTGCATACAAAAGTAAAATGTAACAGTTCCGGATCAAATCCTGAGAGTGGAAAATGCACGACAGTAAGAATGAAAATATTGAGTGATATATTCAGTAAAAACGGTTACAAGCATTCTTTCAGTTAGCAGCCTGGACTAGAGTAATGGTTTCTCCCTTCAATAAAATCCTCCCTGAAATAAAGCAAATCATACCTAATTTTCAAAACAAACCTAGAGGTCTCTTCGCCCCTGATTTCATATGGCGCTCGCAAGCATCAGCTAGGACTAAATTCATATACTCATCAAAGCCCTAAAAGTAGAGATTTGGATATAAACGAACTGCGCTCCGGAATTTTCCTTTGATTATCATGAATCTGACGGTTAGCCTTGATCTTCCGCATAGCTTTCAAAATTAGAGCCGTAGGTTTCTGTAATAAACATGATCATTAAAGACCACGTTTCTACAATAGTTATAACTACGGTCTTCCGCCGTCCTAGTTAAATAAGTTCCTACTCCCAGGGCCAACATTTCCTAACTCAGAGGATGTTGAAGATGCACTGTTAGCATCTCAGACGTTAAAAGCTGAAGGAAAAGTCAGAATACTACCGATATCCCACACTACTAGGAAATGGTCGTGAAGTGACTCTTGGGCAACAAATACGAGGCATAATTTAGAGGTAGGAGCCTGATAATACAAGGCATATCTGTCTCCGAGGACGGCACATCTGTCTCCTCGGGTGAAAGTCCCTTAGGAATACTATGTACCTCAAGGGAAAAGTAACACTGGACGCCTCGCGGATGGCAAACGTGATGACTTTAGACCGAGGCTGATCAAAGCAGGCTTTGCGGCATGTGGAATGGTGGCGTCCACAAGGGAGGCCCTCTGGGCCAACTTAAATAGCTTGCCGCCTGAAGACTTCAAGCAGTCTGCCGGGTAGTAGAACGAGGAGCCGCGAGGAAAACGCAAAGCTGGCTATATCTCTGGAAGGCCACTTGGATGGGGAAAGCATGAAGAAGCGTGGAACACTACACCTGTAGGCAGCATTTAGGCGCGTTCAAAGCCCTCTCCCCTGAGAATTTAGCCGGCCTGTTGGGCAGTGAAGAGATCTTAGGAAGTGCGTCCCAAGTAGATGGCATCAGTTGCATCTACATAAGTGCAAAACTTTTACGAATAAACTTGCTGAACTGCGGGAGCTAGGCGAGGATACCCACTCTCATCTTACTGTTATTACTCCGACATTCGTTTCTGCTGACATGTCAGACCCAAGACATACCGTTTCTAGATGGTGACCTCAAGCCACAGAGGAGAGTTGAGAGGAAAACTACGCAAGTGGTCAAATCCTGGGAAAATTCCAAGCGTTGGTTTGGTTAAAAAACGCCACATTAATGAAAACGCTACTTTATACGCAGTAACAGAAACTGTTGTAAGAATCCCTCATCTGGCTGGCTCCTGATTTCACAGTCCACCCACCGGCTTACCAACACCCTGAATGGCGCCATACACGAAATCTCAGTCACGATGACTATACATATTTTTTAGAATTGTCATAATCACGGCGGAAATCTGCATAAACAGTTGAATCCGGTAGGCGACTCTATCTAGTGATTCTAAAGGCAACTTATTCACCACAGTACGACACAACGGATTTTTCTAGCACTTTACGTCATATTAGACAACTACCAGACAATATTTTCCCTTCATAATGGTGCCTAATTCGGTGTGAAATCTACAGATTCAAGTACATGTGAAACCCACCACCATCGAACGATGGTTCTTCCGATGCTTACTTCTTTGGACCACGGCAACTACTTCTATTATTATAAATCTGTATTCGCCGGGACGAGAGCACTTGAAACTTGGGAGCTGCTTAAACTTGGACATTCACGTGGATTACATGATTATATGGTTATTTGCTGATTCTTGAAGCTGTTGAAGGTAGATCTTGTTGGCCAGTGAGGCTACGAACATAAACATTTCTGTTAGAATAGACGTTTATCTGACGACACATCCGATTATACAGACGTGCCAAACATGTTGGCTACTTGTAACGGAACATCGAGTATTGCGCTACTTTGATGTCACCTTAGTGCGAAAAGAAATGGATGATGGTAACGATTTCAACTCTTAAGCAATGTATATATATGTTATATATACATTGTAAAGCGATATTTTTCCGCTCTTTCCATTACCTCATGCTATGACAGAGCCTTTCTGTACCACTCAGGTAATGTCAAAAGTCCCGCACTTCTTGGCCATTACCGATTTGATGTTGTCTGTAAACCGGATAACCCTATGTTAAATTCATGATCTGATAATAAAATATTCCCCTGTTTATAATGGCATTCAGTTTTTCCGAAGAACATTTTGCGGGTTTGACATTTCAAAATAAACGTGGGTTTATCTTTTAGGAATTGTCCTGGTGCGAACTTGACAGACGCAAAGACCGGTCACTAATTATTCGGACTTGTTATATACCCACGAGTAAGAGACCAAGGAAGAACACGATAGAGTAGTCGGCTGGAATAGTATATTTGCGAGGTCGGGCAGAGATACTGATGCCTTCCAACTAACTGGCTAGAGAGTCGAATACGAGCAGTGCAACATAACACGACAGCGTGCCAAATGGCGAGGATGCTTGACCGGGTGCCTTCAGCTTAGCGAGTCCGGCAAAACTATCAAAGTCAGCATCGGTGTTGAATCTCATCAAACCCTAGGCTATTGATTTTGGGAGGTGTGTGACACTACAATCTTAATTTTAAGAACAGATTTTGGACTTAAGACGAGAAGATTTATCTTTTTCACTCAACGTTTACGAAATTCTAAATGAAGAGATGGGGAATCTAAAGCCCACAAATTAACAATACAGTCACAGTTTTCCATACCAGATTTATTTGTTTGATATTGCATACACTACATAGTGTTATTTGCTTCGCGCTTTATCCCTGCTTGCTGTATCAAATGAACAGATCAAACGTGGAATCACGTCCTAACACAGAGCTCAAGTTTTACAGTTATAATAGTCATGGCATTCTGATATAATTTCTTATTCACAGAAAAATATCGTCAGTATATCATTACAGAACTTTGAGTAATCAATACTGTCTACTTTGGTCATCACATAACTGATAAGACATGAATATATATGAAAAGCGAAAAACAGATACCCGTCAAAACATTCCATCCACGAACTTCAAAATTGTAGTGCAATACTAGAAAGTTTTGAGTACATGTTAGGAAGGATACCTGACCAACCAAGAAGTCTCATTCTCCCTTGGTTCATCAGGACTTCTAGCTTTCGGACTTTCGTTTGCTCCATATCTAACAACTTTTAGGTTCAATACTAAGACCTGTTAAAAGTTGAAGACACTTCACCATCTAATGAAACAATTGTCAGATCAACTCTGGAGCTAAGTTTGAAATTGTTTGCACCATGCACAGAGAAGGTGGGAGGTCTCATAAGGCTATACAACCCCCAATTGTAAGTTCATTTTCAGTCGTAATCATGGTACATAGGGAGTCGTTTACAACTTTTTACAGAAGGTACGTTCTTAAGATAAAACTTTAGTCTCGTCTTTTCCATAGAAAGCTCGAGTGAGGGTTTGGTTATATGAACAATGCAACTTGAGGATTGAAGGGGTCATAATTGTACGTCAGTGGTTAATTTCCTAATCTCTACTTTTAGGGCTTTGATGAGTATATGAATTTAGTCCTAGCTGATGCTTGCGAGCGCCATATGAAATCAGGGGCGAAGAGACCTCTAGGTTTGTTTTGAAAATTAGGTATGATTTGCTTTATTTCAGGGAGGATTTTATTGAAGGGAGAAACCATTACTCTAGTCCAGGCTGCTAACTGAAAGAATGCTTGTAACCGTTTTTACTGAATATATCACTCAATATTTTCATTCTTACTGTCGTGCATTTTCCACTCTCAGGATTTGATCCGGAACTGTTACATTTTACTTTTGTATGCAATCAAGGCAGAGATGTTTCCGGAAATTTTTCCGTGGGTAGTGATTCTCATCTATGGGAATGATGTTTATCAATTAGCTTCCAGCCGATTGGGTAAAGAACGTCGAAGTACTAGCTAGTTACTCATCCTCCAAACTGGTCTAGGTATACATGTCAGAGTACTTACGGAAATCGATTGGGTTTATGATATAATGGGTTGTGGTACTAAAACGCCCGGTCTCAGGGACACTGATTCACACACTTGACTCTGATTGTTCTCTGGCTTCGCACAAGCTGATTTCGAGCATCTGAATAGCACTGTTTACCATTGTGCTACTGGGGGAGATTATAAAAAGTGCGAAGTGATCACTCCCGCACACAACCCTGAATAACGTCGTTTATTAATCATCGGAAACCATGATTCCAAATACGATGGGAGTCAAGGAAAGGGTAAGTTCATTATAGGGAAGTAGACCCCCTAATTCTACAGTTTGTTGACATTCCCAGACCATTCTGGTTTGTATTACTCCCTGAAGTAAGTTACACTGTGAAGATCCCATTTCATTGAATGCGTTCACCGTGGTAGTTGATACCACTTGTTCAGGTACAAGGTTCTATTCGTTGACCATACTAAGGGAAGCATACGTTCATGCTGAGTTGGTTCAACCATTAGTTCTTTTGTTCGTTAGTTTCGAAGATAGCCGATACTCGAGCCAGAGAAACACTGGTCCTGAGATCATCGATAAGGATGTAGAATGCTACTGCAAAGGGGAGCAAATCGTTCAGATATAGTCGTAATAGCAGACGATTTCAACGCTCAGGTAAGAAAGCTGAGCCAGTAGGAAAGGTACCTGGTAGACGTCTGAAATGCCATGCCAACAGACCAATAACAGACTGTTTCACAGAGCATTCTCTGGCAGCAAACCAGTGACGAAGTATGTCTGTGCCTTACTAGTCGCAGGGAACGATAGCAAAGCATGGTAGACTAGAAGACAAGGGCATCAAGAATGTATTTAGAGAATAAATTGCTAAGCATTTATCTGAATATGACTGCAATGGTCATCCTGAGAAAACCTGGTGTGACATTAAGTCTGCTGTTGAAACAGCGGTGGGGACAATCGGTAAGCTACACCCGAAGGTTAGCAAACGCTACTGAATTGCCTCGACGTTGTCCGAATTGATTGGTGCGAGAAGACTGATTCCAGTTGGCTGTGACCACGATGAAGAGCAGAAGCGACTCTAATGCAAACTGACTGTCGATCGCAAACAATGGGTGGCTAAATTGTAGGAGAGATGGAGAAGGCATCAGTGTTGGGTAACAGTCGGCAACTATTTCGGCTTGTTGAGGATGTCGAAAAGAAGTCGATGGTGAGTGGAACCATAACCTCCGAAGACAGGTGGCTAGAATGTTGAGCAGAAGACTGAAGTACAGTTCATGTGGTTCCCAGCATCGCTTGAGTTGTCTAACATCCATACTGAACTTGTGTGTTGCATTGATCTCGGTGTTTCAACTCTCTTTGAAGTTTTAAATTCTGTGTAGAACTTGAATCTGTGCGAAGCTGCAGGACCTAGTAGTTTACCATCCAAAGTTTTGAGGGATGGAGATAAGAGATTGCTGCTGAAGGTGACGGAGGTACTGCGTAGTGTATGGAATGAGAGATTATGCCGTCAGACTGGTGTAATTCGCGGATCATCCCAGTCTATAAGATGGGAGAGAAATCTTGTGACAGCCGTAGAAATGACTCACAGAATCAGCGTAGAACCTCGCGCACAAGTGCATTGGCGCAAGATTTTACATTTCGCAGTAGTAAACAGAATGGTTTGATAGAAAAAGTGATATCAAGAAAGTTCTAGTGTGAGACGATAAACTTTCTCAGAATAACGCTTAGTGCAAATGTTGAAGCTTTATTAGATATCTGGGAGTGAATACATCTACGCCATTGAGACCGGTCTTCAGTCATGTCACCGAGAGTTCTCAATCGTTGAATACTTTCGTCTCGGGGACTCCAATCAGAGAATCTGCATCATACCCCACAACTCAGACCAACAGTAAGAGACTTCGTCGACTGGTGCAGCGTTTTAGTCTGTCCAGCCGGTACTTTTTGTCAACTTCATCCAACCTCCCTCAGCATGGCACGTCGATGTAGGCGGTTGCTTGGTATGCGCAGTACATTTCGAGGCTATTTCAGTCGGCTGAGGTTCGTAACCTCATCAATTGACGTGCCTGTTTTGCTCAGTACCCTTGGCTTGACCTCAACATTGCTCACAATGGTGATTCCCCTGAGCGGGAAGAATGCTACGAATACATCTGTGATCAGAATCCTGTGATCGCTTCATATCTCCTGCTTTTAACGACCGTGTCTCTAAGCCATAAAACAGTCAATGCACTCTCTTGCAAACACTTACGTCCGAATTTTGAAGAACTTTAGGACATTTGGTAGCTTAGCTGCTGGAGGGGATCAAGTCGTCGTTTACTGTTCTCAGCTTTCCCCCTACCAGCGCTTCTGATGGGCTTAAATGGTTTGGAAGTATTTCTGTTGGTGTTGTCTAGTACAGAAGGAAGGATTTTTGGATAATTTTTACGGGCATTCCTTCTTTGAGCATCTCTCTCTTGGACTTGTCCGCAGATCATTCTGCTTGGCTGTTGGATTGTGGATGATATGGTGGAAATTGTATGTGTCCCATACAGTGTCGAAGGCAAAATTTTTGGAACTGTGTGAATGTGGATTGGGGACTGTTGTCAGAGACGATAGTTTTGAACAGAGAATGCTAGCGAGGATTTTTAAAGTTTTCATGGTAGTTGGTGGGTTGACGAGATCTACTTCTGGTCATTTTGAGTAAGCATCAACCTAAATTAGGTAACGATTTTCATCAAGTAGTCCTGGAAAATCAGCATGAACGCCAATGTTCAGCCTGTGGCCAGAAGAGTGATGATAGCTGTAATCATTCTGTATATTTATTCACATAGTTTGTGCGATTTGCTGGTCCATCGGTAATCAGTGAGCGTAGCTACGAGAAGTTGATTTCATGCGTTCGATATCTGGACGACCAGAATCAAATTGACGTAGGATCTAATTCTGAAGGGACGACTACTCGATCTTCAAATATAGGGCAATCATTAGCAATATATGGAGAGGGGTTTATCAGCGAGAAAAACTGTTATACGTTACTAATAAGCGGTAACTTCTATTAGGTAATGGATTGCTGGATCTTCTGTGGAAACTGCTGCTATGACTATATCTACTTCCTTCGATGTAGGTTAGTTGCTTACTGGGCGTGAAAGGGCATTTGTTTGACCGAATTCTTGAGAACATCAATATTGGATCTCACATTCATATCCTGGCAATGTTGCACCCCATCGTTGTAGACGGTTTGCGGGATGAACTGGGTTGCCTGACTCTGATCTAAAAACAGCTAGCAGGAGTTTGTGGTCTGTCAGTAGATTGAATTTTTGGTTACCGTATATTAGCTTATGGAAACGACATACAGCGAAGACTAGGGCCAAGGCTTCTTTTCCTATTAGACTAAATTCGCATTTTGCAGAAGTCAATGTCTGAGATACATGCATCTTGGCTTTTTCTTTTCTATCTGGGGAAAAATGTGGTATTACTTTGCCAACTCTATGAGCATAAACATTTACCGCCATAACAGTTGAGTATTTGGGGTCGTAATGGGTCAGCAAAAGGTTGGATGACAACATGGACTTTAGTTTCCGGAAAGTTGATATATATTCTTCAGTCCACTTACATGGAACATCACTGAAGTTATTCAACGGTGACTTAAATATGTGCACAAATATTAGGAACACGAAGTTATAACTAATGAGTCCCAAGAGTGAGCTCAATGAAGAAACATCCGTTGGTTCTGGTATCTGTCGTATGGCATAGATGTTCTCCGGATCTAGACAACGACAAAAGCCATTATCCCGGATTCAAGAAGAAGTGGCATTTTTCAGGGTGGAGGTCTATTCCATTCCTTTTTAATTTCTGTAGCATCTGTCCCATGCGATCTTGAAGATCTGCTGAAGAAGCTGTGACAGTGGTATATCAAGGCATGCAGCAGTTCCTAGTATACCAGGTGATATGGTGTCTATCACCTTCTGAAAAGTGGTGGGCGCTGTTTTAATTCGAAATGGTAATCGATCGTATTGGTATAGTCTACCGTACGTGTTAAGCATCAACAGTTTATGGGATTCTCTGGCAACTCCTATTTGCAAATAGGCATCAGCTAGATCAGCTTTAGGAAAACAGGTTCCACCATTGAGAACGGTGAATATATCATTCGGTGCTGTCAGTGGGTAGTGGTGTTCGAGTACTGCGTTAAGTCCAGTCGACAAATCAGCATAGATCCGGATCAAACCATTCGACTTTCTAACAACGTCGATGGGAGCTACCCATTAAGAGTAGAGAACTGGTGTAAGAACACCCTGTTGTTCGAGACGTTAGATTTCGGCATCCACTAGTGGTCATAAAGCAAATGTCATGGGTTGGAAAACAGGTGTAGCACCATCACGGAGGCGTACGATAGTTGGGAGTCTATACACCAGCCAAGACTAGGCTTGAGGAAATTGGGAAAACATTGACTGGTGTGAGTAAGCGCCCATGAGCTTGATTTGATTACTTAGTGATACATGGGACAATTCAAGCTTGAATCAGTCAAGACCCAGGAGATTCATTTCCACATAGACGAAATAGAGAACTGCGTTTATAATGGTGTTCCGGAAATAAAGGGGTGCGTAAAAGCTTTTCTGTTAATGGTAACCGGCCGCCACATGCACTGATAGCAGTTTGGAAATTTTCCCAAACAGAGTATCGTCCAATTCTCAATAGGATTACAACTGTATTTCTTGTGAATTGAGGAACACGCATTCTAGTTGTTAATACGTTTTAATATCATTTCCGAACGCTGGGCTCCAGCACCACACCATTTTTCCACGTGTATGATCAACATGTAAACTCAACTTGTCGCCTACGTGTAAATTCATGTGACGCATCGAAATGAAATGCATATATAAGTAAAAGTTTTGCAGTTACAATAAAGCAGTGGTCTTTTGATAATATTTTTTGGTCCACACAAACGAAGACTACACTTTTACTAAACACGGAAGTCTTAACATTTATGTCTTGTAGGCGACCTCTATTTTATAAACTGGCAATTAATTTCACTTTCAGTGGGAATCAACCCCGTACAGGTTTGTGTGTTTGACTGTGAGCCAAACATTGTGTGAGACCTTTTGATGATGGTGTCGTGGCTGCAGTAAGTGTAGCAGGTTTGAAACCAGTATCTATCATATGAAATTTGAGTACTTAGGGCGACAAGCCAAGCTTCCATTAATACGTATAATTGTTGATATTTTTTCTTCATTTGAGATCACTAAATCCATTCTAGTTAGAAACAAACCAGAAGGAATATCATTCGTTGAGCAGTAAGAAGCAGAATTCTATACAGAGTAAGCAAGTATGATAAAATATTATCATACTGCAGGCGTGATATTCAAGTGTAAGGGAATACGTATGCAGTCAAAGTGTCTTCTATTGACCAGTTTGTTAAGAAAAGGCGGGAATGACAGCAATCTAGTAATATTTCATAATACATATTCTGGTAATATCTCTGCATTACTGCAAAGACCAGAACTAAATAATTCTAGGTAACTTCGTGAAACTACTTTATCAGTAGTGGCATGAACCACAGGTGTTTTTTGCCGAACACGTTACAACTTGAAATACTTAATTCAACGTCGTCAGCTGGAGTGCTATTGAAAACCTGGGTGACTGTTTCCTCATTCAAGACTACCCAACAGTGCTTATCCGTGACTTCTCACTAGTTTCTCGAAATTCTGATGAGAAGTCGTGAACTGTAGGGTAAGTCAGGTTGAGAGTGAGGCGGATGTCCACAGATATCGGGAACTTACAGATGCATGAGCTAGTGGACCACTGAATTTCAAGCCCTTCACTAAACACAAACAAGCTCATCATGCCGCTTAATGGTCATGGCTTCTATCCCTCACATAGTCGTTGGTGCTGAGGATCCCCTAACTACGATGAAGCAGGTGTCTAGTGCTTCTATGAGACGCTTTAATTCTCAGTAGTTCTCTAACTGACGTTAGTCAGTGATAAGAACTATCGTGAAGTCGATAGATTTTATACAGATGATCCAATACAGTAATTTTTCATTTGCTTTTAAACCGATTTTACAAGTTTTTGCCTGTATGTTTTGAATACAAACTGTTTCACTCATCGGACGTTTACAACCCAATGTTTATATGAGCTACCTTCGAAATAAATAGGAAAATCATCACCGTCCAGTCAACTCTCTCAAAGAAACTATTTGAAACTGAGTAAAAGCCGGTGGCTTCAATAACGTATCAGTAACTTAAGCATCGTATGCTGAATCAAGTTTTAAACAAAATTCCAGTCAAGTCGTTCATGTGAAATCCTTCCTAGTAACTATTGAACACTTCATTATTACCTTACGCTTGTTCAATTATTGCTATTCAAAGCGTATTTATGATGAAAAACAATAAACTTGTTAGAGATGGGATGGTATGGTTATTGTTATTATCATTATTATTTTATCTCAGTTCGCAAATTTTAATGGCCTGTAAATTATATAGTAATGATTATGAATAAATAAGTATACAATAGTAAATGTGAAACAGAAAGACAAAGTGAACGATTAATTTAAAGAATACTATAGATTAGAGGAGAAATAAAAGTTTCAGGGAGTTGACAAGCAGCAAAACTATCAGGTAGCGGGATACAAATATAAAGTTAAAAGGACATTGAAAGTTATGCGACAAAAAACTTCAACATATCAACAACAAAAAAGATTATCTAGTTGTGACAGTTAGTCAGTCAGTAAGTTGAACATGATGAAAATGAAATGTATCCAAATGTATATATATTATGAAGGTGAATTCGTTGGGTCAGCTAATAGAAGCGCATAAAAGAAAATGTACAATACATTTTAAAGGCGAACTCTTTCATATATATATATATATATATATATATCACACATTTGTTTTCTAATTACTTCTGCGAACAATTAGATAGAAAGAGTATTGTCTGTTGACTAGTTTCTCTAATAATCTTTACACACCATGTAAACAAGTGTACTTACATCTCAACTAGTTTAAAATGACAAACCATCTACAGATGTTTAGTACATTGATGATTAGGTAAACATAGAAATTATATCACCAATAAAAATAAGTAGGATTAACTAAATAAATATTGTATCAAAACAGAAAAAAGAAAACAAGTTCAAAGCGAGAGTTTTTAAAGAAAGATAATAAGAAACAAAACAATACTAACAACATATGTACGTAAAAGTGATGTTAATATCTATCATTATTATTGTTACTATCATCATTAGCGTGAAAATGACTGAATCCAATTTGTGGTGCGTTATTTGATGAATCAGTCAAAGGGTATGGTGTTAAGGGTGTTGTCACCTGAAAGAGAATTAGAAATAAATAAGTCAATAAGAGAGAATATGAAAAAAAATTTCACTATTAGAAAAATTATGCCTAGACTAATCATCTTGTAAGACGAAAAATTCTAGAGAAGACTAATACAGTTCTGTTGTGAGAGACTTGAACAAAAGGTTGATCTACTTAAATGGACTTGATCTGTAACTATCAAGTATTATACTAAAGGCAGCACCGTAGTTGATTTAGCCGTTTACTTCCCATGGGTAGTTAGTAGGGAAATGCCAGTGGATTTATCACTACTGGAATCTTAGCACAGCTACGAAAGTTAAACGCTTACTGATGATCATGTTTGTGGTGTTGACAGTATAGTTAGCCAGAGAAAACGAATGATGTTAAAGTTGAAAAAAGTTTATGAGAGACAGAAAATTAGATGAAGATTAGTAACAATGTTTAAAATATGGAAAACACCATATAGGCTATACATCTTAGCCATTGTGATAGAATTTTAAGCCATGTCACCTAAAACCTCTAACTATTGATTCCTATCTTCTCGAGGACCCCGGGTCAGATGGCTTATACAGCTCAAACAAGCAGTCAAAAAATCCACTGACTGATACGGCATCTTGTCCTAATCAATCTTAGATTTCTTCCAAAAGAATCCTACTTCATTAACTAAGTAATTTTAAATATAATCCCAGTGTGTTTAGAAAATCAAAACAAGATTTTTCTGAATGTTCCGCTGTGTATACCACAGCTTCTTCAGGACATTCGTAATAACTATGGCTTGAATATTTATAATAATCCTATTTCGCCTAGCATCTCTTGTCAAGGGAGCGGTGACTCAGCATGCACAAAACATGTTCAAATCCAATCGGTCGGTGGATGTCCACACCGTCATCAAAGTATTCACCTTGTATTCTCCTCATTTTTTCGGTGTCATTACACGTGTGTATTGCTATGACGGTACCTACGACCCAACGACCATATCTTACAGTTGAACAACAAAAACAGAGTGAACTGGTGCGTAATATACTCATTACTTGGTAGGTACTCGAATAACTCTTAGGCACCGTAAGTGCTTAAGTTGGAAAATGTGAAACAAACCACTTTGAATCCCAGCAGTAACCAGCTCACCTGGACGACTAAAATAAATTCCCAAGTAAGGGAAATGGTCAATATAGCATAACACTTTTCGCCCTATCCGTAAACTACGAGTTATTGCAAACCAGTCATGAAGAATCATCTTACACTCAACCGGTATGAAAAGAATGTCAAACATACTGAGATTTCTGCTCGAAGATTTTGTCAGTATCTTCATTTTACAAAAATATGTTGTGATTCTTTCAAAATGTTCTCAGTAGCTGGTACTTCCAGTCTTCAAAAATGAAGGGAAATGTTCACGTAATAACCAGAGGGGAATCAGTTTGATGAACATGTTGCCTAAGATCCTAGTTCCTATGACCATTAGATCGCCTAAACGAAGCTGTGGAACAACAAACCCGAGGAAACCGAAGCGGGTTCAGATATAGTCATGAGTGTACTGATTCAATCGTAACTTTCTGCCAGATCGCAAGGCACATATACACTCACTGGCGTCACACTCTGGTAGTATTTCTTGACTTGAAGGCGGCATTCGACCCTACTAATCGATACATCTTGTGCCAGCGTATCTCACTAAACTAAGTGACCGGTAAGTGTGTCACACTGTTGATGGCTTTATGCTTGAACACCAATAGTCATACTGGAGCCTACAGTAAGGTATAATAGGAGCCAATTAACTTGAGTGGTGTTACTTTTCACGTAAAATTATCATCAACAACGTATAAAGGTCTCCTTCTCCTAGTTTGAATTGAAGGGGATTTACATCAACGTAGCAAAATTTTCAGCTGATATAGAGAAGACAGATGGCAAATTACTGTAACATAAAGACAATGAAAAGATTTAGAAATTTCCGAACATCGAAGATATTTGCAGTGCATCTCTCACTTGCTAAATACATACTGTTGTTTCAAAACTGTCCAGTATTACTATCTTTTCTAAGAGTACACGGTGAAGTAGTTGGATGTGTTGACCACCCACCTTGAGAAGTCAAACCAGTGCTTGTGGGTAAATGGTACAGATACAAAAAGCTAGAATGGCCTTTCCCAGCTTACGCCATTTGTGAAACTGGTGAGATAACAAAATGTACACCGAGGATCGAGTGTCTTAAGCAGTACCTCATTCTGTCTTATTCTACGACTGTGGAGCATGGTTATTTAGGGCGGAGGACATAAAAAAGCTTCAGGTGTTCGACCATAGCTGTCTTTACAGCATCGAACATGTATCACGGAACCACCACGTGAGTAGCGCATTGGTTAGAAGTCTTAGGGCCCACGAATGCCCTCGTGTGCGCTCACAGCCTCTGCCAGATAAGTCCTATTCACTGCCTTCACATGGCGAGGGTGTTTTACACAGAAACGAAAGGGTGAAAACGAATATCTGGCGCTTACCACTGGATTGGTGGATACTGAGGGTCCGACTAGGGGGTCGGAAAACCTGGTCCTAAGCCAATAGTGCTCATGAGCTCCAGGTTCCAGATGCAACAAATGGCATATGACATATGCTTATGGCACATACTTTTATTATTATCACCAATTTTCAGTTTTGTCTTTATCTTTACTTCCCTCAGCTGCTCTCTATAGCTTAGAATTCTGGTCTTTCTGTATCATTTTGAGTTATTGAACAGTTGCCCCCATAAAACTGTCTTCCAGTGTGATATCTGGCACAGCTATCCTGAAAACATGCAAACCGTTTAAGTTCACAGCCTTCAACGTTCGCACCTTGATAAGGATAAGAAAACATACAGGTTTGGGAAGGACTTTAGAAAGCCTCGCTGTTGATGTATGCTGCATTTCAGAGACCCGTATACAAAATCCCAGTGAAGTTCTTCGAATCAGTTCCTCATCTGTCAGCTAGGGGGGGGGACCGCATGGCATCGGCAAGCGGCCTCACCATTGTCGGTGTCACACTAAACGCTCAAGCCGAAGCTGCACAACTCAGCTAGATTCCTTTCAACAGTCTTCTGTGTGTTGTTAGGGTAGAAAGTCCATCTTGAGCAAGAAGTGATTGGCAAGAGGAACAATGTATCTTTGTGATCTCAGCCTATGCTGCGATGGGTCGAAGCCCGAATGCGACCGAGGATGAATTCTGTCACCAACTGATTGACCTAGTGCGCTAGACAAATATCGTAGTGCTGGCTGGGGACTTGGATGCGCAGGTCGGGCATCGGGTCAAAGGAGAGTCGTTTAGGTGGCCAATGGGACTAGTTGGCTGCAGGTCAGATAATTGAGATCGTCTTCTGCAGCTTAGCGCAGATCCCAACCTATTTTTGGTCAGCAACAACTTTCGACACAGCCATCACCGTTGTGCTAATTGGCGTCCTCCTTCTGCCATTCAAGCCTGGACTCAAAAAGATCATATTGCGATCAGCTACCGATAGCGTGAGTACATAAAGGACTGCCGCTCTATATGGAGTACTTGTCTGAACTCTGATCATGCTTCAGTGTGTGGTAAGCCCGTCTTGCGGTTTGGTTGTCAACAAAATCGTTCTGAAAAGGTCGATACAAGGAAATTAGCTGCAACTGATAATGCAGCTAAATACCAATCCCAGCCTGATTTAAGGCTGAGTACAGATCTTCCAGAAAGTGTAGACGAGCATTGGCTGAACTTGCAAGACACCATGAAAATAGAGAGTAAAGCCACTCGCAGCTTGAAAAAGGTCCCACCTATAAACAGTAGGTCTCTGCGAGTTCCCTGGAACTTCTTGACCCCCGTCGGACCATTCCAGCGGATAGCGAAAACAATGGTTCGCGTAAGTCTCTTATGCGGATGATTACACAACACTTACGTAGGGACCGTGAGGCTTGGTGGTCAAGAACACGCGAGTGAGATGGGAGCGGCAGCTGGATCAGGCAATAGTCGGAAGTTGTTCCAGCTCATCCGAGCTACTGGCAGCAAGAAGCCAGGTGTCAGTGAAACAGTCTATGAGGTAGATGGTACGCTGATAAGCAATCTTCAAAGATTCCTGGAACGCTGAGCGGAGCACTTCGAAAAGCAGTTTGGCTGACCCACACCTCCAGACTCTTCAGTTACAGTGAATGGTGCTCCATGGTCAGTTAACTCTGACCCACCTAACGAACTGGAGGTCCGTAAGGAACTCCAAGTTCTAAAACTCCACAAAGCACCCGCCCCAGAAAACGTACCCCTAGCTCCTTTTAAGGATGGAGGGACGACTGTAGTCAGGGTAGTGACTAGATTGTTTGAGAAAGTATAGCAGACTGAGAGTGTTCCATAACTCTGGAATGAAGCCATCGTTGTGCGTCTACGTAATGTATATGACAGTCATCGGGGTATTGGTCTGTTGCCAGTCACGTCGAAAATATTGGCTGTTATCATACTTCGCAGACTTTGCAAAACACGTGAGGAAATGATTCGCCAGGAGCAGGCCGGATTTCGTTCAGGTTGTGGATGCATTGATCATGTGTTTATCCTCCGCCAGATGCTTGAACATCGCCAGACTTATTGCAGGCCAAAAATTGTTTATTGATACTAGACCTGCTTTCGACTTCGTCAGACAGTGCTGTGCTCAGGAATTGTCTGTCAGAGAGGGGCGTACTTGAGAAATTTATTGACGCCTTGGAAGCGCTATATAATAACACCTTAGGTAGAGTGAGTGCATACAACCACCTGTCTCCATTGTTCCACACCATCAGTGGGGTTAGGCAGGGTTCTGCTCTACACATATGAAACCTGGCCTCTCCGAGTTGAGGATGTGTGACGACTCTGTGTGCTAGATCATCGTTGTCCGTGTAAGATTGCTTGTATCCGGTGGCCACACCACGTCAGTAATTCTGAGGTACGACAGCGTGTTTGGGCATGATGGAGATCATCATTCAATTAATGAGGTCATCTATCTGGGAACATCGGATTCGGGGGCTTGGATATGTGTTATGCATGTTATCCTAACGGTTCCCACACCGTTCATTGATTGCCAGCCCTGGGACTAGATGGAAGGAGGGGGAGGGGGGGCACTGTAGGACGTGGAATCATGGGATGAAGGCCAGTTGTATCGGGTTAGCATCTGTTGGTGCATCAAGACTCTTTGGGTTGGATCCGAAAGAATAAGCAACTCAGTGGCTTGAGACGTCAGATAAAGCTCAGAATCAAAACGAATGGCAGTCATGCTGTAGCTTCCTTCTATCTTCCGCTGGTTAAAAGTAATGAATGTTTTGTTTTGAACGCATCTCACAGGACTGCCCTTCTAATCATGCTATTTTTATTGTGTTTTTCTTTTTATCCACATCCCATCGCTTTTTGTCTTCATAATGTTGTTATATTATTTTGTGTGGCGCATTTCAAAGTGCCGTTGCTGTACCGTGTTTGTGTTCCGATAAATTAATAATAACAGAAGTCTTAGGTAAAAGAGGTGAGTCAGTTGATGAAGTTAAAAACCATTCGCTTAGATGGCTAGAATATATGTTACGCATGACTGGTCGCCGTCTACCTAAACAAGGAATTTTAGTTCAAATAGGAATGAACTGGAAAGCCGTTAAATGTGGTCAAACTAGAATGTGATATCGGTTTCTGACTGTCCATTTAAGCCATGTAGTGGAATTAGCGTAACAAATGGAGTGGATGTTTAAAGGTTATGTAATACAGCTTAGAAACGGCTGCAGTAACCTTGATGCTTCCACACCTCATTTACATCCTAAACATCAGACAACTTTTGTTATGTTTTAGCAAGTTTTCTTTTCTGAAACTTTCTACAACTTTGTTCATACTTTGTCAACTTAGATTCAGATATGCTGATCCAAGGTGTGACAACGTGGATTATCATATGGTAGCGATAGATTTCATGTTGATATTGACTGACCTGGTTTTAGAGTAACTGAAGACAAAATACAACTTCTCTAGTTATGATTTTTCGTATTAGGTTACGAGAGATAGGTAAAGATGGAAGACGCTGATCGATCATTCATTTGGACAAGAATAAGCAGACTGTGATAGGAGTAAGGGACAAAAGATTGTTTAGTTAAAAGGCATATAGCATTAAGACTGATTGAGTAGAAGGCATTGCATAATTTAATAAGAAGATGGAGGTTATCGGGGAAATGTGATATATTCGTGCAATACATTTCGAACAATCTGGCCACATATTTATTTGTCAAGGCATTTTATATACAGAAAACGAAACCTATTCTTTAAATAGACTTCATCACTGCTTAGATGATTGCGTAACATCCTGGTATGTGTGCGGTGACATATACATTAGAAGGCGTAATTGCACTATAAAGTCGAGGGTAGTGAAGCATATCCCTAAATGACTAGAAAAAGCAATTACAATCAAATAATGCGATAAATACAGAGGGTAGGCAGATGTCATCCTCGATAGGTAAATACACATTGTAGAAACGGGTCACCGGATAGACCGCAAAACAGCTTTCAGACCATTGTATAAGAGCCATCAAGATTGTACACTTAGTAATTCCACTTTAGTCTGTTTATTAGAAATGTCACACAGTGAAACAGTGAAATACATGCAATAGAAATGATTCTGCACATATCCCCGGAAATACGGAAAATTCTATTATCCTCTTCATCACAAAGGAGAGAAAATTAGGACTATATAAACTAACATGAATATGGACAATAAATTGCGTCCGAGATGTTATCCAGTAAATGATACTGTTTCATTGTGCGACATTTCTAATGAACAAACTAAAGTGGGATTAGAATCTACCACAGTGCCCAAGTTTTACTCCTGTATTACCGGGATAGGAAAAGCAAGACAAGCTTTCACTAATCCGAAATCAGTGTGGAGATCTACTGCACTCAGCATGTGGGACAAGATCCGGATTTGCAACACCATTTTCAAGTCAGTGCTGCTGCTGTTCAAAAACTTGGTGCGTCACGAAAAGCACTCCCAACAAACTACAGACATTCATCAACAGCTGTCGTCTACGCTCACTCGATACTGAGGATCAGATGGCCAGAATAATAAAAATAAGCAACAAGGAACTCCGACTAGAGACGAACAAACCAAGAACCTATCGCACAACAAATATGCGGAAGGAAGTGGAGATGGATTGGATTGGACATACACTGAGAAGGCCGACTGGGGTAATCACGCGCCAGGCCCTCGAGTGGAACCCAAAGGGGAAACGATGAGTTGGACGTGCGAGGCGGGGGTGACGTGGAGGAGATCATGTGAGGAAGAAACGAAAGCCTGTGGGCAGTCGGGGAGAAAGGTTCAAAAGACTGCAGAGGACAGAGTGCAATGGAGGCGTCCTAATGAAGCCCTATGTTCCACTAGGAACTCAAGGGAAAAATAATAATAATAATACTTTAGTAATCTTTATCTCAATTTAATGCCAAGGGAGACGTGAAAATGTATTATTCTTCCATATTATCCCTATGTTTTCCAATTTTTGTATTATCTTAATTTATTTGTCTTACCTCATTCTATTTTCATATAAAATACCTTAAGAAGTAAATATGTGATCAGATTGTTCGAAATATGTTGCGCGAATAAATCGAATTTCACAGACAACCTCCTTCTTATTACATTATATAAATTCATTCAGTGACTAATTGTTTGAAAAGCGATTGATTAACCTTTTATCACAGAATATCTAAATCATACAATGATGGTTAGAGTATATATTAATTCAGAAAAAAAAACAACTCGGAGGTGTGGAACCAAAATGCAATATAATTACACAAAACCACACCTCTGAACCGTGTGAACCACTTGGGTGAGCTTCATATAAAGAACAAAACTTTAAAACAATACACATTTTTTTCGAGACTCTATGTTAATATGCATTTCACATCTTTTTAGAGTTTGTAAATTAGCAAATCCTTAACATTTAGCTTGTACAATTCACATGTTCATCTTAACTTTTTTTTCCCCAATGCTGACCAAGTGAATAGAACAGCACCGAAACTAGAATGTAACAGTACAGCCATTTAAGGAGTTATGAACAGAAAGCAACTTCAACCAATTACAGCACAGATATTAAATGAATAGAACTTCGACACTAGTATAGATTTTAATTATATTCCCTTATTTCTTAAAATCTGTTTCCGTTATTATTCTTACTATCCCAACTACACAAAAACTACATCTTCGCAATACAGACTGGATAAACAGTTCACAACCTAATAACATTATTAGTATTGCATCATGATGCAACCAATCGGAACTATTTCCATTCTCATACTCTTAATATAGCTATCACTAAGTATTGAAGGGGTCGATCAGTGGGAGTAGAACAAAACATGTTGCATTGATTTAAATCAATGCATCTCCAGGACTTGGATTCAATGCAGTGTAGGGAAATAAATTTATAAATCAATAAAAAAAAAAACTGGAAATATCTTTAATTGTTGATGTAACCTACAGAAATACTTACTTGGACACATGTTGGTGGCAATTCATAACTGTGAAATGTATAGACAGTAGGTCCCAGATTAGTACTGATCGATCGACTGAATGAGGGGATATTTCCAGAAGATAACTCAGTTGCATTCTCTTCAGTGCAGTCGATAGTGTTATCGTTATCAGTATTTCGTAGTGTTTGAAGTCTATCTTGCAAATTTCTTAACATGATAATTTTTTTAAAGTTGATATCTTTAGTAATTGTTTTATTATACTGTTGATTGCCAACTTCTGCGTTTAAAATGATTGCATTTGTAATATTCGCTTCATGGTACATTTCTCGTTTGATATGCTTGGGAACATCTGGTACTGCTGCCATAATTAAATTAGTTAGAATCGTTGCAATAGTCTGAAAATAATAATAATAATAATAATAATAATAATAATAATAATAATAATAATAATAATAATGGTAATAGAGTATACGCGAGTTGGTCGTTAAATGCTAATTCATCTACTAGTAATGTAGATCGTCCAACTAAGTAGCAAGATATTACGATGCACTGGGATACATTTAAGTACAGTGAGTCGATTCGTAGGAAGCTTATTCAAACTCATCAGCAAGGGGTATCCATAGTATCAATGAAATTCATGTTCCTTCAAAGGCTGAAATATGGATCATTCAGAAGTAATCATTACAAGTCGACTTCAGTTAAATAAATATTGTATTTGACAGCTTTGAAATGGTAAATTCAAGAAATTATTAGAAGTAAAACTATCGAAGCCGAATCCAGCGAGTAATTGAGTTGATCTCAGTGCTTATCGAGTTGTAGTTGGTGAAAAAAACTGAGTCTTCTATGACAGAAACAGTTTGCATAATGACAAAAGATAAGTTTCCGTATACCATGAAACACTTTAGGCTGAAATTTCCAGTTAATGAAACTCAGAGTATGAATCAGGTACTAAACTGCCAACTGTACAGTTTGATCAATCTGAATTCCACTCGAAGATGATGTGTCAATTAGAAATGATTAGTGGTCTTTGAATGATGATGAAAACTGTGGAGGTAACTGCTATTTTTCTTACCCCTATCCAACAGACTTCTGTTAGATTATGATCCGAAGGAGAAAATGTTCTCGTCAGCATAGTTTATTGCGTTATTGCATTATGCAAGACCGATCCCTACATCAAAGTAGCAACTAACTGCCATCAGAAAATCATTATCCATGCATGTATATATCACTTCTTAAGTTCATAGTTTTAATTAAAGGTGAGAATTCAGTTGCAATTTTAGAGCAGATGAATACCAACCACCTGGCCTCCTATTAAAGGATACAGTACTGGGTTTAAACAACAAAGTTGAATAGTCTAAATACGTAACTAATCACTTATTGGAACTTGAATTCGTATCATACATAGTAACTGCCATCATCAGCACGTATAACAAATAATGAAGGTTGGTAATATGATATCATTTTAAAGATGAGAGTATTCATGACATGAAGTTGATTGGAGCAGGGGTGCAAAACATGGAAGCGCTAAGCAGTTATTGCTCCTAGTTCAGGTTATGTCAGCAGTGTATATTTTCAATCAAAGATTTCAATTTGAATTCACGCTGACCATCACTAAGAATAAAAGCTCAGTATATTTTGACTTCTATTGCTTATTGAACCGATTTCAGCTAGACATGAAAGGTATCGTTAATTTACTTCGTATGAAACTTGCCATTTCAACAGTCAGGTGGTGTTATTACCATCAGTAAAATAATCCTGCGGATGATAACTAAGTACACGAAGCTGTATACCAGTTACATAAATTTGAAAAAAAACCATACTAACATAAGCATGTACGAAAGTAGTTCTGTATTCTTGAAAGCGTGCTTCAGCGTCTAGTTACATTATTTCATCTTATAATGCTAACCTTATAAAACAGTTTTCTTTCTACTACATTAAGATGACAACAATAGCTTAAACCGTAGAAAAGTATCACAGGATACTGATAACATTCTGTCGAAGCTAACAGTAACAATCATTAAATATCAACTATTGTCCAAGTCCAAATCAGTACAGTTGTTACTACAACCCAGTAAAAACGTACAGGTTTGTGCAGTTGGCTATCAGCCACTCTTATTGTGTAAAACTTATGATATGTTACCTGATTGATCAATGTTGGATAGGTGGAACCGTGATTTAATGTATGAAAGTAGAGTGCCATATCTAAGGTGCCACAGTTCTAAAGCTTACTCATTTAAATCCTGCGTTGTTTATCGGAGAACGGCCTACAGTGCATACTGCTGAAGTGTATCCCAACACACTTTAGTCATAGGCGGTGTTTTTATAGAAGAGTATGACTTGTAATGGTCATATTCATTTCAGTTATACTTATCAGCCTGCCAAAATTGAATAAACCTATGAGTTTGCTAACTTCAGACATGTAAGTGAGTAAGATAATTGAAGTTTACAAAAGGATAGTGACAAACAAAATAATTCTTCTGATTTTTCTTTCAACGGTCAACTTACTTCAAAAGCAAAAACGAAAATAAATTTAGCTGCTAAAACATGATAATATACTGCAGTGAGAACATAAGGCTCTACAGACCACGGTGCAGAACGATAGGCATCATATCTGAAAATTAAATAAAAAGGATAGAATAAGAATAATAGTTACACATAGTCGTGATGTAAGATGAAAACAGAAAAGTAACCACAAATATGATACATTGTTTTAGTGGTAGCTTGGAAACGTTCTTCACTAAGTTTTCATCAATCATACGTGAAATATTTGTATGAAACAAGGCAGGTACATCTCTAGCTGACCAGTCCTAGATAGGAAGAAACACGCAGACTGAATTCCACTGTTAGTCACTATTCATCAATAATATATATATATATCAAATCTGATGTCTAATAACTGATAACTGAAATCAATTTGATGTATTTGTTGATATCAAAGTCGAAAATTTACTGCTCAAAGGCACTACGTATAGTTGCAAGTAATCATATAAACTACATCGATGTATGTATCACTGTATGCTACATCGAATCAACAATCTAATATGGAATCATATGAACTACATTCTGTGTAACAGTGAGAGTGTAGTTGACTATTCAAAAGAGTATTTAAATTCTCATACGGGTCTTGGTTACGACTTCCAATAAATGACAACTGCTCCAGCAAAAGTTACTGATTTCAGGTTGGTAGTCATCATAGACTGAAATCAGTTGGAGAAAAATTGGAAACCTGGGACCACTTGGCAGTGCGCACCTATGACCCCACCAGGGAAAAAGCCTAAGACCTTCAGTTCCAAAGCCAGTGCACTACCACAGAGCCACTGGGTCGGGATCAAATGGTCCATATTTCCTACTTCTATCAGTTCGCAATATACCGCGACCTCCATCCAAATGTCCTCATGTCCGACTTGGTTGGGCCCACCGGTCACGACTACTCATTAGAAATTCAGGAATTACCTCTCGAAGCGAGTCACCAATGAGTACTAGAATTATTCCCTTTAGAGGTTTGTGGGGATTTATTCATTGATTTCAGGTTGATATTCATCATGAACTGACATCAGTCGGAGAAACACTGAAAACCTGGGAGCAGAAGACAACTGTTTCGTCCTAGTATAGGACTACTCAGGAGTGGGTAACCATAACCCAACTGGGTATTGATAAACTCGTAAAGTGAAACTTTCACGTTAGATTTGAATGTTACATAATTGTAGGCCTATACGTTACTTGTCAACTCATCTCGTTCTTTGAGTTAATTTATAAACTTCTGTTGATCAACTCTCATTTTGTGCTGTCGAAAAGTAGAATAACCATCGTGTGTCGGTATCTCTGTTATTCCATTAGCCTCTAATTAAAATCATGTTTCTGCTTATGTTGACTGACTAACCTGATAGACTATTGGTGGTTTGAAAGCGATATTCATCTCAGGTTGACACCAGTTAACGAGTTAATAAAAATCTGGGGGCACAAGACAGCTGTTTAACCCTAACAGAACTTCCATACTTGGCAGAAGCAACTGTCCAGTGCTCCCAGGTTTTCAATGGTTCTCCGACTGATTTCAATCCGTGACGAAAACTACTTTCTTACAGACTATACCAATCGAAAAGATGAATACTTATGTGTGTACCATATGCCACTGAAAAAAAACAATCTCCAAAGCTCTGAAAGATTCCTGCTGCTGTGAAAGTGGTTGAAACCGACTTCTTGAATCAGTCTACCGTCTACAGAATAACAGGAGAGGATTTCCAATTACAGAAAACACAGAAAATAGTAATAATAAGATATGAAACCGAAAATGTTTTGAACGCGTTGTGTATCCAGATTCCTTTGACATCCATGATAATTTGATTTACAATCCAGCAATAATCTAACAGTAAGCATAACTTGATGAAAGTATACTACTACACTGAAGTTGGAGACGATGAATAGTACATTGATTAAGTAAACACTCATAAAACTTCTTTTGTAATGAACCGTACAGAAACTGTGATAATTTAAATACCACCCTGTCCACCTAGGCTTTCTGTAGATAGATCGTTTTATTTTTAACCATGTTCCCGTCGATTAATCACCACATCGAAGAGAGATAAGCAGTTGCTGTTGTCTTCTACACTTGTCAAAGATATACTAATTTGTACTTCGTTCATTCAATTCAGAGCTAAAGTAGCACAACATGGATTACCGCTTGTGATTAGGATATCATTCACATATCTTTTATAAAATCTAACCTTTTCGATTAAGTCTTCAGATAACTTTTCAACATACGACATATAAATATTGGCTGAAAAAGGGATCAAAGGGGCATCCCACAGTAATATCAGTCTGACAAAAATATTCGCCCTTAAATGTAAACTTTACAATTTTAGTACATAAAAGTAATAAATATTTTGAAGTTAGGTAAGGAAATTGGGATTAGAAAATTGTGCATGGATTAAGAGATAACATCAAAATACAATGAAAACATCTATCTCCACATACTTTAATGCAATCGTACACAGAATAACAATAGTTTCTATTTAAGAAAAGATATCTGATATAATTAAAATACCTGCAATAAGTTTCATTAGTTGGGATATTAAAACGATTTGTTGACATATAGGAAAGAGTGAAATTCACAAAACCTTTCATGCTTCCATCTGGACTGTAAGAATGTTGATATACGCATCGATCAATAAATTGTGTAGTAAATGCAATAATGCAGGCCTATGTTAGGCATAAAACACCGAAAAAACAAACAAACAGAAAAAATACATCAAGCTGACACTTTTCACTTATATCATCATTTACATATGTATTTTAAACAAAAACTAGGTACAATATGGGTAGTAAGAAGTGCGCTAGTAAGAAAACATTTACAATATGTGACAACTTGTAATTCTTATTCGATGTTTGGATCAAATTGATCAACCGTTATTGTCATATGGACTAGTGCATAGATACCTCGATATTGTCGGTTATTTCACTTTGATAGCAATGATGGATAACGCACAATGAGCGGCTATAGTGACTCAGTAACTTAGTAAATAACGCTTCGGGATTTGGCGTGACAGGTCCTGAGTCCGATTCCCAACGGGAACAAAATCACCTATTGGAAGCCAGGCACATCCGCCTGATGAGTCTCAAATCAGGTGAAATGCACGTCCCGGATTCCATCAGTACTATTTAAAAAATATGTTCAAACCGCTGAAGCCGGTATTTTAAAACGACTTCACTCAATGAATGAGGATCTCCATCACACTCGAACGTGCACCATCGTACTTTAGAAATTCGTATATTGTTGGTTTCGATGGTCGGGAATAATTATCAGGAAGCCCTGGACCTTGGTTCTCCATTTGTTGAGACTTTTCAGTAAAGTGTGGCACGGGTTCAAATCCAAGACAAAATATCAGTTCCCTTGAAGTTGCCGATACGCCTTGCTGACGAGTGCCAACAAAGACAAAACCCAAGTCCAAGAGTTCCTGGTGATGGTATCCAACCAACGAACACCAATCAAAGTGCAGCACAACAGTGGGTCTCCTAACCTGGTAACCACGTCAAAAACTGATCGATAGAATTCAGCCAGCTCTTAGGGCTAGACAAAAAGTAACTGGTTACACCCTAGTAACTAACTAATGAACACATTAGGTGTTTTGATAGAATTCGAAGATAACGGTAATTGACCAGAACACAACCCTGCTTTACGGAATGAAAGCAGCCTTGATATCGGGAAACACGGTGATGGCTTACAATGTGTATGGTGGTGTTTGAGCATTTGATGGAGGGTGAACACATGATCAATGCATCCACGGCTTGAACGAAATAAGGATCTTTGCGGATGTTTTCACGTGTTTTGAAGAGTGTAAGACTTACTATAATGGACAATGTTTTAGACGCTGCTGGTAGCGGACTGATAGCCCGACGGTTATCACACACCTCGTGGACAATCTGCAGTGATAGGTACAACAATGGTTTCATTTCAGAATGATGGAATATCACCCGTCAGCCATTTCGTCTGAAACAACATTCTCAGTCCCCTGGCTATAGTGTCACCTCCATTCTAAGGAGAGACGTAAGCTGTTTGAGATGAGTGCCGATGGCGCTTTAGTTCCCTTGAGTTTCCTCTCGGTCTCGGCCTTCTTAGGTGGGTCAGTTTAAACCACATATGGGCATAAACGCTGAAGGTCAATATTGCTGGAGCAATAGACTTCGCATTCCAAGTATCTGTGAAAGCTGGTGATCGGCGCACCATCTCCTTCACAGACCGTCTGGTTGACACTAGGCTTCTAAGTGCCAGTGGTTCGGATGAGCTGAAACAGCTTTCAACTATTGATGCTTCCATCTCACTCGTGCATTTTGACCACCAGGCATCGCGTTCCCTATACAAGTGTTCTGGATCGCGGAACCCATTTGCTCAGCTAGTTTGGTGTTACGGTTTTCCAACTTTACTAGGCAAACTCCCAGGTGATAGCGCCGGACATTCGCTTTCCTCCCTCTTACTTTTCTGAAATGTCCCTTGTCATGTGAAAGCAGTGAGCAAGACCGATATAATTAAAAATAGTTGCTTTTTCTTAAACTTATAGTTGTTCGGCTAGGATATTTCAATTGCTAGTTATTTACATTTTAAGAGGAATTTTAGAATCATTTCTAGTAAAGTGGTTTTAAGGTCCGAAAATTAGTAGTCGAGCATGTACACCAGTATTATTCAGTGTACTTTTACAAGGAGTATAAACGTTCTAAATCTTTATTTTCCACTTCGATTATTCAGTATATTAGGATATGATTAAAGTATTCAGATTTACAACTATTCACACACTCAGAAAATGATATTTCCCTGAGTACTATAACATTAGTATATAGTTTGCGATGGACATTATTTCAGGGAAAGTTTCTTTCAGGGAAATAGTGAAAGTATTTGATATGGTTTTAGTGCCTTCATAAGCAAATTCATGGGTATTCATTCCTAACATATTTCAGTACAGATATTCATTTCCAAAGAGTGATTAGTTTAAATTTTGCTTGTAGGTGAACGAGATAGCCTAGTTTTACAACAGATGCTTACAGAAATTCGTAATATTTTCAACTGATCTAAATAATTTATCAAGAAATAGGTAACATGTAGAATCATCAGTTCAAATCTGGAATCGTGAATGCACTCTCAAGAGATTAAGATATATATATATATATATATATATATATATATATATATATATATATATATATATATAGAGTTTATATACGGAACTCTGACTGAGAATATCAACGTAGAACCTCACATACAGTTGCATTGGATCAAATTGTCACACATTACAGTAGTACAAGAAGAACAAGTGGATAGGAAAGTGGTGATACAGTACTAGACAAAGTTGTGTGAGAGAATAAAAATCCGAATATAACAAATACTGCAAATATTCAAGCTTTAAAAGATATCAAGGAGTGAATACGTCTGTCTACTGTGACCAGTTTCCAGCGATTTCACCAAAAGGCTTTAACCCCTGATTCCTTTCGTCTCGAGGACCTCAACCATACAGTCTACCTCTCTCCACATGACTGAAACTAACAGTAAGAAACTTCATCGACATGTCCTGGTCCGGCCACCCTGAACCCTTTTCCAACTTAAGTCGACTTCCCCCAGCGTGGCACGGAGCTGTACGAGAAGGATAACATGTAATCAAATACATAAATAAAGGACTTACATTGGTTCGAATAGCAATATTTGCAAGAACGGTGATAATTGTTAGCCATATACCTGTAACAAAAGTGATAATTAGAAATATTGCTAACATAACAATACAATAGCTGGTGCAACAGAAAGAAACTTCCACTCACCAATTACTCATGCAATCAAATGACATTACTATTAGTATATTGGCTTATTTGAAGGACCCGTCGATGCTACCACCACTAGTGAATGTAATAGGATAGTATTCAGTAGTGAAAAAAAGAAGTGCACTCAGCAACCTTAAGCGCATTCGTGGAGCGGGGCTCGAACACACTGCCAACTGGTTGACAGTTCACAACATAGATTATATTTCATAATAGACTCATCAGTAAGATATGCATATCCTAATGTTTCAGTGTTGTTGTTCACAGAGATTTGACTGTATCCACTGATTCCCAAAAATAGTTTGCCTTAAGAATACTGAATTATGACGGATAAAGAAACATATATAACTAAACAGATATATTGCTACCTTGAAGATGATTTTCCAAGGCCTGAATTAGATGGATATTCCAGTGAAAAAACATTTTGACGCCCTAACTGCATAGTTGTGAGAGATACAAATACATTATCATTGGACTATCTGAGATAGCCGTAATTTGGCAGACTAGTATTTAGACTGGGTGATGATTGAAGGTGAGGTAAAAATTTGGACCGCGACCGAATTCCAACCAGCTACCACTGGGTTTCCAGCCCGATGCTCTGGACCTCGTAGTTCAGTTGATAGCACATCGGATGGGAAACCCGGTGGTCACTGGTTTGAATCTGACAGTGTTCCAGATTTTCATCTCACCTTCAATCATCACCCAGTATAAACACAAATATATTTCAAGTCAGACAGCCGAATTTAAGAAGCATGAACCATTCAAATCATAAAAAGGGACTTCTACAGACACATGGATGACGAAGCCAGCACAAGACGGTAGTATAAACCATACGATACTTGCATCATATAGATACAGACTGTTAGCGTTTCTAATGGCATGGTCCCACTAACTAAAAGAAGCTAGTTAGACTCTATTTAGTCCAATTTGACAGCTGACTCTTCAAATATCTATGTCGTAATCTAAACAGGAAGTGCTAGATATAACAATGAATGACTCAACCTTGATATAAGAAATCCAGAACAGTCTCGTTTGATAGTTAATTTTCTTGTTTACTAAAAATACAAGCTTGGCACAAAATGAGCATTAAGAGATATACCACACAGGCCCTCAATCAATAAAAAGATGATTTCTTGAGTACAAGTACAGTGTCCAATCTGGTTAACTAGAATACTAACAGGAGAAGATCACTCACAATTTACAAGTTTTGTAACTCAGGAGGGTGATTTTGATGGTGTTATGTTCTGTGAGCTGCATGGTTTAATAGTGGAGCTTTTGTGGTCATTCTAGACAACATTATCAGCACAAACTTCAGAAAGAAGTGAGCTATAGTTTTCTCAACAAATGGATTCGTAGCTTGTATTGTGGCTTTGTGTATGATTGGTTATTTCTGCCCAAGTCTTGTCATTGCTTCCATATTTATTTCGATAGAATAACGTCTCCGAGATCATGACTAGATTATTAAAGTCTTTTGAAATAACTGTAGCTCACAAGCCTACAAAATCTCTTTACTCTCTGTTATGCAGAATAAGAGATGCAATAACGACGAAAGACAAAACAAACATTATCTACAAAATAAACTGCAGAAGCTGCGAAAAACACTGCATTAGACAAACTGGTCGCCCTCTACGTATTCGCCCACATGAACACTAACTAGCAGTGAAGCGTAACAACCAATCACACACATGGCCATCAGGACAAGTTACTGAGTCACTTGTTATGAAAATTCTATAGCTCACTTCTTTCTGAAGTTTCTCCTGATGATATTGTCTAGACTGACAATGAAAGCATCACAACTAAACCATCCAGCTTAGAGAACACACCATCAACATTACAGGTTTTCCTACAGTCGTAGTCACCCCTCTCAACAATTATACAGATATTGGGGTGACTTTAAAGGCCACCTTAGTAACCGTCAGGACAACCAATTACTTTTCTTTATTTTATGAAAAACTACCCCCCAACTAAAATATCGACACCTGATTGGTTAATTCCGCAGTTGCTAAAGTGGCCTTTACAGTCGCTTGATAATTGTCACTGAATATGATCTCATAAATATACTGACTCAGATGTACGTCTTGTACTAAAATGAGTTGTGGAGGCTTTTTAGGTCGAATTACCAACGAATTTAGTGTCGAATACAACAGAAGATGATACTAAAGGTAACAGTGCATACGATTAGTCTGTCTTACAATCAACGATAAATGCGTTAAATAGCTATTTTCTAATTACGATTTATTAACTAAACCATTGTCTTCTGATTTCATGATGTTGCCAATGTAAATTATTCCCTTCTCTTTAGACTTGATAACACTACCCTATGGAGGTATACTACTCGAATTGTGGTTAAAGCATTAACAATACTACTTAAAATTATTTAAGAACTTCGGTTGGAAGTATAAGATGTAGTAATTAAATGAAAGCTGAACTATTCAGGAACGTTTTATGCATAAAAGAATAATAATAATGATCATACCTATTGTTTGAACTCTTTCCAAAACTGGACGACGATATTGATTGACCAACTTTTTAGCATCACCACGAATTTCAAACAGATTGTTTAATAGACCAAATAATGGAGCGAGTGGAAATGCAGGAACAAACATTGTAATAAATCCATATTGAATCACTGAAATAAAATGGAAAAAAAAAACAACCTAGAATTGTGTACTAAATAAACATCAGAATAAGTTAACATTCAATCCTCATTTTAAGCATGACTGTACTTCAAACTTGAATCAGTAAAAGTGAAGAGAGAATTTTAGTTTGTTTTCTTCAATGGATGTTAATGTTCGACATTTAGAGTGAACACTTTAAGATAATAGGATATAAGGATTCAATTAGGTAAAGATGACATGACATTCTTAATCATTTCAACCAGAGATATAACATGATCAAATAAACTAACTACTCACATACTGATGATACTTTTTAACCGATACCAAACTGGATGAAGTGACTATTTCACCTACCTAGAGAGCTGCATCAGCCCCAATGGACTTGTCGCTGAAAAGTTTGCAGTATAAAGAAAAATAGCTTTCATAAACTTATATCATATAAGGTGCTGGTGAAATATACAGCAGTTCGTCTTATTCCACCATACAACTGTAAAACATTACTCTTAAGACTGAGGAAATTAAAAAGGTCATATGTTTTTGTGACTTATTGGTTTGATAGAATCTGTCATGTGTTGTGGAATCTGTATGCAACCAATACAGTGGTTGAGTATAGCATATTATTCAAGGGAACTAAGTAAATTAATGTAGTTTTGGACTACGATGAATGGGTTAGGTATTGTGTAAGTTAGCCTAACCCGTTTATCCTAAAGTACCAGATTAAGGTTGTCAAAGCTTCAAATGTTCAGATCAAGGCGTAGTTCTAGTTGAAGTCAGTTCTGAGCCATACGATGACATATAGATTTTCGGATAAGGTTCCACGAGAAAACCAGAATAGATGGTTGGAAAGTCTAGATACTATGGTACACAAGCGGTGTTAGTTAATATTCATCTAGACAACAATAATAAACAGCAATTAAGCAGTATACTACTTACTCATTTCTAAATACTCGTTGAATAATGGCCTAGATCCAGGATCTAGCATATAGTAGTCAGAACGACAAAGAATATTTCGTCTACTTATTACACTAGATTTTGTTGTGGTGAGATTAGGCGCAAAAGAATTTTGACCATTGCAAATAGCATCATCGGTGGTAGCAGTATTAGTGTTGCTGATAGTAGCAGAATATTTATTTCGACGTTTCATTGAACGGAATTTGAAGAATAATTTCCATAGAACACTAAACAGATAATAAACAAAAAAAAAAGGGAATAGAAAGAAGTGACAATAATGTAAAAAGTAACTTTTCATCCAAACCTCCTATTTAATCACATTATCTCTTGGATCGCACAACTCTATTTTGCCTCTTATCATTCATTACGTCTCAAGATAATTGTTCAGGTTTTCATTTAGCATTATAGCTTGAATATAATATTTGCTAAATGTAAACAATCGAATATTCTAACCGAAAACCCTGAAAGATCTTCACCCCTAGCCCTGTTGACTACTATTACTCCAAGAAAACAATTCAGTTGGTAATCAGGATTAGTGTTTAAAACAGTTGAGATTTATGATGATTGAAGTTTATTACGGTGTTGAAGGATTCGAGCCAGCAGTCAATCATTAACAATCGACACTGATGCATTCATATTCCATGCATTTTATTCTCATTAAAAATTTCAACAACAACATGAAAATAAAGTTTCCAGAAGAAGATGAATTCAATGATTGTTATCATCACAACACATCTACACATCAACCACAAATGTACATATGAAATAAACAAACTTTAACTCCATTTTAGTTTATTTATTAGAAATATTACACAGTGAAACAGTATCACCTACTGGATAATATTTGGCACATAATTTATTGTCCATATTCATATCAAGTAACTCCATAACTTTGAGACAGAGTTTATACGGTTCTAATTTTTTTCTCTCCTTCTTTATGATGACAAGGGTAGTAGAATTTTTCGTACATTTGGGAGAGGTGAACAATCATTTCGATTGCCCGTATTAGGTGCTGATTCGATAAACAAAGACTCGGTTATCAATCTCTCCCTTGACCCAACTTAGTTTTCAATACTGTCACTCTATCCAACCCTATTGTGTGCAGTTGCATATAGAACTATAGCCGAGCTTTTTCCTAAATTTCTCTTCTTATTAGGATCTAGTAGATCTTGACTTAGCTAATCTTTTGTGCTCTTTTATTCTAATTGACCTTGGTCGACTACTTTGACCTATGTACTTGACCTCGCAATCATTGCAGGGAGTTTAGTAGACCAAACCATTTTGACTGGTTGCAATCGATGCGACCTTTTAACCTACGAACCTTGTTTCTAAACGAGTTTGTTGATTTAAATGCCACTTTAATCCCAGTCTTGTTAAGTATTATTCGTAATGCTTCTGTGGTGCCTTCCTTGTATGGTAACACAGCAGTGGCTTTGAATTCTCTCTCAATCCTGTTACCATCATTACTAGTAGTAGTAGAATTATCATTAATAACATCGTATGACTACTACTACTTCTAATATTTTTCTTTCGATTTCTTATAAATTTACGTGGGTAATTATTGAAACATAAAGTATTCTTGATGTGTCTAATTGCTTGTCGTAGATTTTCTGGCCTACTCTAGTAAGCTTTGTCACGCTATCACACAGGCATTTAACTAAGCCTACTGTAACTGAGATGATCTGAAGTCTAAGCGGCGATTCGAATGGGAAAGTTTCCTATAGACACTAGTTTCTAAACTTCCCCTATATGACTTTTCTAATAAACAGACTAAAATGGAATTACAATCTACCACAGTGCCCAAGTTTTACCCCTATATTGATAAACATACTCTACTTTGAAGAGCCTCAGAAGATTTCTATGAAGAAAATTTATTTTAATCAGGCACAAATCCTCTTTAATCTGTAAACACTCAAGAAAAATTTGTAAAACGATGAGAGACGCTTATTAAATCACAAAAAAAGAGAAGAGGTAAATTAGGAATGAAAATTTTTCTATCGGCGAATTCAGTTATTCTATCCAGTAAGTGTCATTGAGTCGTTCGAAGAAGAGATGATTCTTGTTTTGTTGATAGATTACCAGGGGTGTCATCAATACAACACTCCATCTTTGCTCAAATGGCATCACATTTCATAATATTATTTGTGAAGCTTGTCGTTTGGGAGACGCGTATCGTTGATGCATGACGACGATTGAAGACGATGTGGAAACTTGTTTCATCGTGGGATTTCAACCACCAATGGGAATATTAAGATTTGGTCGGGTTATTCCAAAAACTCACCTTAGACAATACACTAATGATGTCAAAGGCGGGAGAGAATAAGTGAAGAAATACTCCTGTAAATACGGTTTAAGCTAAAATAAGGAAACCTAATTGAGTATTTTATTTATGTCCAATAACATCATTTCTATTGGAATAGTAGTAGAACAAGTGAAAGAATGTTAAGATCACCTTTAAAGTCATCCACTAAGATGTTGGCCAGTAACGTATTTTGATCTGATCATGATAATTGAAGGTTCTGATCACTTGGAAAATTATAAACAACTTATTGACTTCTATACATTAAGAGATTCGGTTTACACTTAATACTGTACATCTAGAGCTATGGCTCAGTGGTTTATGGAGATGACCGTCAACCAGTGGGTGGGTCAGGGTTTCGAACCCCGCTCCACCTACCGTGGTTTGGGCAGTCTAATAGTATCACTAATCCTCATACAACAGGTGTGATTCATTGCTTAGTGCACGGATCTGCACAAGATGGTTAAGTGTGTTTTATACTTCGAAATAAAACTGTATGACAGCTAACGTCAGTACTATTATTTTTTGTCTAAAAAAAGAGTAAAAGATTAGTAACTTACGGCATTAAAGACTCTTGTATAAAACCAAATACTTGTTTGCCAACCATAATGATTACTAGTTGTATGAACAATTCAAAAGACAATCACCTTGATCACACTACAAAATAACCAACAAATAAATAACATGGGAATAATAAAAATTAGTTTCCAAGGTCAAAGCATACACATGACCACTACCAACAGATAAATAGGAGCGTATCAGTGAAGTGATCGAATGGAAGTGACCGATAGAATAATAAAAAAAATATGAGAAATGCTATTAACGCATTGAGATACTCGGACTGGATACGCAAACCGACTATTCTCTCTTAGGCTTGATACTTCACTGAGCTGCGAAAATCAGAAGACAAAGACCGGGCTGTGCCTGTTAGGAAGAAAACTTTATTTGAAAAAAAAATCATTTATATTGTTTTTCCTCAGAAAATAAGTTGGACACTTATTTTGATTGGTCAACTGTAAGACAGAACTGTTCAATAAGGTTCATCCTGCCCACTCAGTAACATGAAACAAAGTTGAAATCCAAAAGTTCTACCTCATGATTTAGAATCCCGATTTCGATTTAGGCCGCTTCCTACCAGTCAGTCAGTTACAGATGATTAACGAAAGTCGTGCAGTCAGTAACACCTATTAGTTTCCTCAAATCGCATTCATTGATTACTGTTTGCATATGAGCTACTTTGAGGATACCTAAATACTGTCAATAATCTCATTTTGATACAGTAGTGCATAGTGGGTAACAGTGAACTTAAGGAAGAGAAATTCATCCCGTTGAGGAATCCTCAGTTAATGGTACTTGTGTCTCAGTGTTGTTTTTCTCTCTGACACTTAAACTCAGCACTAAACACTTGAAACACTACCAGGCTACTAAGTTACCACAACCACTGCTTGTGTAACAAGTATATTTCGATACTATAGTTTGTAACTTCCAGTATGCACAACTAACTACCAGAGTAACTACTCAATAGACTGGTAGAGCAATGTGTTCTGACATCGAGTCTCGGTGGGAGTAACAAAACTGGAAAAAAGATTGATGAGGCCTGAATAGCAATGAAAACTTCATCCTGGACTGGACTACCAGCTACTGCCCATTACTGTCATTGGTGCAACTATCGTTGCTTCTCAGATTGAGTCTGAATTGTCTTATAATCTCCAGCTAGAGATTTCTAGTGATGACACTTTTACAGATTTTGATGTGAATCAAAATCGTTCACAACCTCATTGAATATAAAAATTTTCATTTTAATATCTTTTTCCACGATACAAGACACATTAAGATGTCTAACTGTGACAGTTACTCTAGTAGCCAATGTGTGTTTCAAGCTAGTACCTTCGCATACATATTCCAAGTATCCTTTACATTCATTGTTTAGACCAATGTTGGTAATAGATGTAGTTAGTTAGTGTATTATCAACGAAAAATTTTGTTGATCAGTAAAAAGTAGTGTTCGAGAAATGAATTAACTAACTGTCTTAAGACTTTGTTAGATACGTTTCAGAGTCAATGTTATTGACGAAAAAATTACAAAAATTATCCGAAGTTATTGAATAATATACCTTTTCAAAGTAGTGGAAACAATAACCAGATAGATATCTTTATGAACTTAGCAACAGCACTAAAACTACAGGTGAAACTAAACGAATTTATTTATTCACAAACTGGATTAGAAAAAGTCGGGAGGCCAATTCACTTACCTAATCCAATCCTACAGAAGGCTAATCATAGGTTGTATAGCCTAGTAGTAAGTCATTGAAATTAGCTCTGGAAAATATTAGTCTACGGTGACATGTGTCTCCTCAATGTTGAAGATATAATTAACTGATGAAAGCGAACAATACGAAAACTTTGTTAAACAGGGATTCTATCAACTGACTTTAAACATCTAACACTAAGCTTTCTCTTCATTGTTGATCTCCGACATCAGTTCATTACAAAATGGACACCAAGGGACTGATCAAGATAAATAACTTAATATTAAAAAGACAGGAACACATGCTCAAAGTAAAGTTAACTGGAAAAGATTATGCAAAGCAGTCTACAGAACAAGCGTATGGTTGTTTTGTCACATTTACACACAATCGGTTGTGGATGGAAATGATTTTAAACTAGGTGATGATTGAAGGTGAAATGAAAATTCGGACAGCGGCCGGACTCGAACCAGCGCAAAATTTTCATTGTACCTTCAATCATCACTCGTATAAATACCAGTCTGTCAAACTACGGTTATCTCAGACAGTTAAATGATAAAATGATTTTAAGCCTAGTTATCTTGTTGATGATAAACTCAACTGCTTGTTATCCTTTAACCTGTAATAATACGCAAAATAAAACACCATGAATTTTTTAAATTAACCTTCAATACTACTTTTTCTTTCTATATTAAAGACAAACTCATAGAATGAACGAGACGGATTATAATCAACCGTAGTCTGACTGACAAAATCAAAGAAGAACCTCGCACACAAGTGCATCGTCTCAAGTTGCTACACTTCACAGTAGTACACAAGAACAAGTAGACAGAATGAGAGTGATTTCAAAGTGGACAAAGTTGTGTGAGAGAATAAACAATTTGACGACAAAGGTTAGTGTGAGTACTCAAGCTTCATCTATATCATTGTGACCCATATTCAGTCATGCCATCAAAGTCCTCTTCAGTCACTGATTCCTTTCGTCTCAAGGACCCCAACTAGGCAGTCTACATCTTCCAACATGACTACAACCAACAATTAGGGACTTCATGAACTGGTACTAGGTCTTGGTCTGGCCACCCTGAACACTCTTCCAACCTAATCCAACTTACCTCAGCATAGTACTTTAGTGAGATAAATGGAAAACCACCTATCAGATTTGTAAGCATATTGTCCAATATGATAAACTTGTATGCTATAATAAATCTACATCTACAATGTTACTGATTACATATTGACAGCCAATCTGCAAACAGAGATTGAGCAGTTCAATGCAGTATAGCAATGGGAACTTACAAATATCAACAAATAAATGCTTAGAAGTAGTATTCATCATGGACTGACATCAGTTGGGAAACGATTGAAAATCTGGGAGCACTGGACAGCTGTTTCGTCCTAGTATGGGACCCCTCAGAAGTATGCACCCACCACCCGGCTAGGGATCGAACTCAGGACCTTCAGGTTCCACGGCGAATGTGTTAACCATTCAGCCATTGGGGTAGGTTTCCAGTGGTTCAAAACTTTCAACTTCTGTCAATTCACGACATAGCGCGACTGTCACCCAAGGTCTTCAGTTAGCATCCACTTCACTTCCAACTGGTTGACCCCGCAGGTTACGGCTTCTCATTAGAGCTTTCTGATATCCATCTGAAGCAAGTCACTAATGAGTACTATACAGTAATGCATTTTTGAGATGAATGGGGATTGTTAATTTAGAAGTAGTATTCATCATGGACATATATAAATGAAAAGTTTGTGCATTGTAAATGAATTAATGTAATATAAGTAAATTTTCAATGCAAAGTTTACACACAATGAACATTTTTTATTTCGGTAATATTTCCAACTGTTGGTGTGATCACAGGTAACAATTTCGCTTAGAATATTACCAAAATAAAAACGTATCATTACGTGTAGACTTTGCATCAAAAATTTACTGATAATACGTAAATATTTGATAGTCTACCTGTAATTAAGTTGATTTTACTGAGACTGACTACTTTGAAATAAATAAGGCCAAAAAGGTTGACTAATAGATATTCAGATGTCTTAAATTCATGTTCACTGGTACTCATCAGTGAAGTATACCTGGGAACAGATGACAAATAACACCTCCTGAAGTTGAGACGGATTCAATCGGATTTTATAGGAAAGATTATCAGTAAATCATTCGAAATGTAAATAATTATCTACAGAAATATACAACACAAACTATGGAATAAATCATATACTTAAAACTGTACTGTCGAACTTCCGTTAATACACTTAATAGTATTTTTAAAAAACAATTGGTCAGCTTGGTTTAAGTGTTTCTTTTTTACTACTGAATTCATACTGAGTGGTATACTACAAAAAATAAAATTAATCGCTGTCATCCAGTGCAAGCTATCGATAACAGACAATATCCAGTATAAAAAATGTATGACCTTTAGTAGACAAAACAAAAAGTTGATTCCAATCTAATACTCTCTGATGAAAGAGTAACCATATCAAACTTGTAAATAATGTGAATATGACTCATCATAAAGTGATTGTAGAAAGTGATAACTTCTCACATTGACAGTATTTGAATAAGCTAATAAGCTAAATATTTATCATTTTGACCATCTGAGATAGCCATGATTTGGCAGACTAGTATTGATATTAGGTGATGATTAAAGGTTTAATGAAAATTTGATGGAGGACCAGGTCGGGAATCCGGTGGACGCTAGTTCAAATCTCGCCGCAGACCAAATTTTCGTTTCACCTTCTATCATCGCCCAATAGAAATAAATACCATTTTTCACTATAAGCATAGCATTGTTTCGGATTCCAAGAAGATCATAGATAGAATCTGACTTATTATTATTTTTACTGGACCCAGTATAACAACGGGGAGTTATAAGCATCAGCAAATAACTAATACCGGTTGAACAAGAAGTGGCCATTGTGCCTCAGACGCTTAGTGGATAGCGCTTTAGTGTTTGAAACAATTGGTATGGGGTTCGAGTTTCAGTAGTGAAACCACCACTCACTAGGGTGCAGGTATATCCAACTGGTGAGTTCTAGATGGACGAAACGTCCTGGGTTCTACTGCTAGCCACCACCAAGTCAACTATAATCTAACTCAACTTGTCCATCTGAAGTCAACAAAATGTGTCACCAAGATTAGAAATAGCGCATTCTAATGGCTAAGTGAAAATTAGTATAAGTCAATAAATATTATTGTACCAAGACTTATGATACAAAGTATCTGTCAGACCTCAGGAAATATAGTGAAATTCCAACGATTACAAGACTAATTAAATTAATATATCTTAACTAATTAACCATGGAAACACACGAGACGAAGCGACTATGATAATAAACTCGTGAAAAAAAAGAGTGAACAAGGTCTGTTAATAACTTCCAGCCATTAGAGGGGGGGGGGGTCTAGAGCGTCATAAAGTAATTATCTAGCGAACTGATACGGTATAATAAGTGTTTTATGTTGTGAATCAACCACCCCCACATACTTCACATACAGTATTAATAATAGGATGCAAAAATTAGGTCAAGATATTTTGTGACAAATTAATTCTTATTAGGGAGTTATAAATGATATGTTCTCATAGTCTAAAAAAAGGGATTCCTCGCACCCAAGTGCATTGGATCAAGTTGCTACACTTCACAGTAGTATACAGGGATCGGTGTATAGAAAGATAGTGATATCAAAGTACACAAAGTTGCATGTGAGAGAAAAAACAATTTGAAGATAAAGGTTACTATGAATATTCAAGCTTTAGATGTCAAGAAGTGAATACATCTGCGCCGTTGTGAACGAATTTCAGTCATGTCACCAAGAGACCTCAACCATGGATTCTTTTCGTCTTGGGCACCCCACCCCAACCAGATGGTCTACATCGCCGCACGCAGTCCAGACCGACAGTAAGAAACTTCGTCGACTGGTGCCATGTCTTCTTCTGGCCGCTCTGAATACTTCCAACCTAATTCAACTTCCTCTAATATGGCACATCGAGATAAGCAGTGATTCGGGATGTGCAACACATATCCAAGCCATCTCAATCGACTGAGGTTCACAACCTCATCAATCGACTTGCCTGTCTTGCCTAGTACCCTTCGCCTGACCTCCACATTGCTGACGCGGTGATTCCACCAAACGCGACCAACGCCACAAAGACATCCGTGATCAAAACCATGTAATCGCTTCGTGTCTTCCACTTTCAACGGCCATATCTCACAGTCGTACAACAGAAAAGAACGGACGACGGTGCAGTATACTCGTTATTGGATGAATAGTCAGATACCTCGCCAGTAAGCACCATGGGTGAGGCAAGTTAGCAAATGCCAAACGGGCCTTTTGTATCTGACCTCAGATTTCGTCAGCAACCATCCCGTTCGGGCTGACGCAACTTCACAAGTAAGTGAAGTGGTCGACACATTCCACCACTTCACTCCCTATAATTAAAGTGGGACTAACTGCATCAGACCAGTCCTTGAGCATCACCTTACATTTGACAGGTGCAACTGAAACGCATGTCAAACGTCCTCAGGTTTCTGCTCAGGGCATCCAGAAGACACTGCACTTTGTCAACGTCTTTACTTGGTAGGACAATATCGTCTGCATGCTCCACGTCAACCAGATGACCTCCAGGGAGTGGAAAAATCTGTGCCAAGTGAGATGTACCTAAGGCTATACCCATTAATGTAACTTCTATGGAATTAAACAAGGACGATGACAGTGGACATCCCTGGCGGACACCACTATTTGTCTTCAATTCAACACTCTATAGGCTTGCACTTACACGGCTGCGTGAGTTTGAGCTAAGGGCTTTGATCACCATTAAACACATGCTCCGCCCTCCGTTCACAGTCAGACACTGTCACAACACTAGAAGGAAGATTGGTCCACGTGGCATCGAAGGTACCTCGGGTTATGCCCATTAACATGTCTATAAAAAAGACTGAAGCGGAATGTTTAAAGTTAGAGACCCTATCGGGAACCAGCGGTTGTCGTCAATTTAAATGACGATCCTCTGTAAGCTCTTACATAACTGTATGATCAAAAGTAAAAATAGTTGATTAGCAGTATGCATTTGCTCAGCACTCCCTAAATAGTAAGATACAGCCACAATACCTCTCGCTTGACAGAGTCAAATACCGTCTTCAAGTCAAGAAGTATGACAAGTGTCGAGCACTTATAGACACGTCTATGTTCAGAAAGCTGTCAAAGAATGAAGATCTGATCGATGAATCCTCGTATAGATCTGAAACCTGCTTGCCTCTCTCATGTGTCGGATAACTAGGGACCCTAGGATTCTGGACACACTACTAGTTAGGCTAATTCCCCTATGGTTATCAAACGAAGATTTCTTCCACTTCTTATAGACTGGGATGATTAGTGGAATACACCAGTATGACGGCACTATCTCTGGTTCCCACCTAGTACCTCGGTCAATCTGATCACCAGTTTCCCACCTCTATGCTTGAAAACGTCGAGCGGACGAAATGCGCATCCTGGATTCCTCTCTGCTAGCCACTATCCATCGTCACTATACATAATTAAAACACAGGCAATATCGAGGCACCCACACAGGAGCCCACATGCCAATAGAAACCGATCATTTCGGCCCAATCAACGACGGTATAGTACAAGCATTTACGCTAAAACTATATCCATTGCACAAGAAGTGGCTATAATGGCTCGGAGGTGTAGTGGATAACGCTATGGCGTTTGAAGCGATCGCTCCCAAGTCCGAGTCCAGGTGCGAACAACATCACTCACTGGGAGGCAGGTACATCCGGCTGACGAGTCCCAAACAGGACGAAATGCGCATCCTGGATTCCACTGTTAGCCACTATCCATCGCTACTAGGCTTTACTATCGTCTGTTTCCTGCTACCAGTAAGGCAAAGACATTCACGAGCCCGTACTAGTGTGTGATCGCAGTACCAGTTGGGAGCGGTACTCCAGGAAGAGGGGCAATCCTCCATCGATCTAAATGTATCCGTTGTTGGATTGTTGTCGTCAAACGCCATGTGGAGCAATGTCTCTGCTCATGCTTAAAGTTAGTGCTGGCTAGAAACAAGTGGTTGTGAGAACAAAATTGCAGCACACAATGACCGTTATCGGTTCGTTAACTTGGGATTCTGCAAATACTAATGTTATGCCTTTAAGACTGACTCAGTTTCCTTCCTTGAGCTTTAAAATCACCTGTCATTGTGACCACATCTGAACATTTTGCTTTCTGTAGCAAAGTTGACAGCTTCTCATAGAATTCATCGATTGCATCATCCAAACTACAGTTGGTTGGTGCATAGGCGGAGATTATGAATAGGCATCGCCTAGTCTCACGATCTTTCCTAGTCTTCACAGATCTATTCAGTTGAAAACAAACATAGACTGCTATTCACTGGAATTCAGTCGAGAAGCTCACTCTCTGCTCTGCAACTCAATGCTATGCTTACACCAGCAACTCCACGACAGCTAGTCATTCGATCTCCGGATACTCTTATAGTGAACATTCAGAATTCGCTACTATGACCGCGTGAGGTCAATTTGATAGCCACATCCGGATCCTGTACACATTTTTCACAAACACAGCATACATCCATCGCTAGATATTCCAGAGTTCTGGCGAGCGATGCTTGCTCTCCGATTAGGCATGCAGTTGAAAACTCCTATATGAAATCGATGGCGGGGTCTTAGGAGACTAAGGATGAGGTTTCAACTTGTTTGATCGTTGGCAATGGTTGCAAAGTAAAATGTTAGGTAAGACGTAGGAGGCCTAATATTAGTATCAGGAGGCGAAGGCAAAGAAGGATATAAAATAAAGGAGGATAGGTTAAGTTTGATTTGGTCTTGTTTACTACTAGGAGCGTGCAGGTGGTTGACACTTCCCGGCTGCCTACACCATGGAAAACCAGTTTTCCAAGGGGTAACTGAAAAATAATGGGAAGTGCATGACCGCAGAGCCCAAGTAATGTATCTGCTTGAGGACGGTCATATACAATATTTTGGTAAGCTTGAGATTTTAATATTTTGCTTTCAAATCCGACTACGAATTCCTGTCACAGGTATCAGATTGCCGTGAGGTGATAGGAGCTTGCTGTTTTGGGGGCCAACCTTATGTAAGCACCCTTTCCCATGTGGCATTGAGTATCAGCGTAGCAGTGCTGGTCATGCAAAGGAAACAGCTTACTGCTGTCACACCTCCGTCCAGCTAGCAGCAGTACGACTACGCCCTCAGACCTCCGTCATAGCGTAGCAATTTAACCTATGATAGTAACTGCTTTTGTCTAACCTCTATCCAACAGACCTTTTTGGTATGGTAGGACCTCGAGGAAGGAAGCGTTCCACCAGCATAGCTCATTGGGTCATTGTGATACGCAAGCCTGACCACCACGTCAAAGTAGTAGCTATCAGTTGGGAGATTAGTTAGAATAAAATACAAATAGAATAAAAATGTGGGAAATAAAGTTTTAATAATATACATTTTTTGAATATGTGGTTTAGGTAGTTCCCTCATTTCTAAAACTGTCTATCTTACAGAATAGAACGAGTTTCTCAGTGGCTGGAAGACAAGAAATGTCAAGTATGTTGGTAACTATTCATTCGTAACACTATGAGGCGATCAGTTCAACAACATAAATCTTATAAAATTTCATTCGGAACTCCAGGTTGTAGAATGAAGGAACTTGGGATATACTTACGTGAACAGTTTATCGTTGAAATCAATGGTTATCCAATGTTGTTTGACTCCTAGTGATTTCTTAGTCAATATTAACTAGTGAATAAAACTATTTTTACATTTTTAATAAGATTCACTGAGACTGGTCTTAAGTAATAGTACGAATTCGGGATTGTTGAGTTCTCATAGAAATTGTAAGATACTTAATGGCTGAAGTGAAATTAAAAGTTTAGTGAATGTTGCGCCTCGTAGTCCAGTTGGTAGAGCATCGACCAGTCACACGTAGACCGATAGTACGAGATGAAGAACACGAATATTACATGCAAACAAGTGGTTATCGAATGAAAAACTAAGATTTACAAAAAAAACCCAGTGGATACATCTTCACCAATGAAATTAACTTTCAACTCTCTAACTATAGATTCTCACTGTCTTTCATCCATACTATTGGGGTTCTTCACGTGAATGATATTCACAACTAACACAATAAACAAATGAAACAAAGTGAACAAAAAGGAATCTCCAATCAAATGTATACATGTTGGCATACTTACTCCAGTTGACTGAATCAATATATGTTCAGTACCAGGGACAGCTGAAGTTGTTCCTTGTATAAATGCAATGTAAAATATTGACGAATAGTAATTAACAAATTGTAATAGATATAATTTCAGTGTTAAACTATTATCATACTCCACTTGTGTACGATGATTTTCTATATCAGTCAACTTGGTTGCCATACGATCATAAATCTGTAAATGAAGAAAGAAAGAACGAAAATAGACAGATGAAGGAACAATAAAACAATGTGATACTAGATACAGAAGGACTAGTAGACAACAGTTGGTTTGAGGATGCATGAACCACCTCCATTTGCGTCTACTAATTCATCTGTTGTTGTGAAGCTGGTTAAATATATAGGGAGCACAAAACGTATTCTAAGCAAACATATCTCTGAACACTTTTCTGCATGATTGTTGAGAAGGGAGTGCAAATCAATCAACAGCTCTATTCTTGGGCGTCTGCTTCACTTGAGTCTTCCTAATTTATAAAATACACCTGGGAGTATTGGATACCTGCTTCGTCCCAGTATGGGACTCCTCAGCAGTGTACACCCCTGACCTTACCGGGAACAGAGGCCATGTCGTTGAATATCTGTCCTCATGTCCGACTTGACTGGTCCCACCGGTCACAACTTCCTATTACGACTTCGGGAACTACCTCTCGAATCGAGTCACCAATGAGTACTAAATCAATTCAATCTAAAGGTTTGTTAGAATATATATATTGATTTTAGTTGACATGCATCATGAACCGACATCAGTTAAAGAAACATTGGGTTTGATCCATGGCGGGATCATGAGTGCACACTGCTGAGGGGTCCCATACTAGGACGAAACAGTTGTCTGCTGCTCCCAGGTTTTCAATGCTTCTCCAACTGATGTCAGTTCACGATGAATACCGACCTGAAATCAATAAATAAATTACCACAAACCTCCAAATCTAATTTACCATATCTAGTTTACATATTGCATTATATACGAACCAATTCAATGATATGTAGTCATTAACTTACACTCCTTCACTATATGGTGACTGTAACTATTCAGAAAACTCTGTGGCTATTGTACTGAACAGTAGAATGGTGTACTTCAGTATAATTGGCTACCTTTTTGAAACACACATATCTTAGAGCTTTATGTATGCCTTTTTAGTTCACGTTTTGATGAAATACTCTAATCTTTTGAGGTTCCTTCAGCAGCATATTGAGTTTTATTCTTTATTTAGATAAAATATTATCTAATTTTTGATTGTTTACTTTCGGTTGAGAGAACTTTATCGATTTTTTTGAACAAAGATATGCGTTTATGAAATCTCTTAAATTTTGGACTTCAAATAAGCACCTAAACATTTTAAACGTTTCAGCAATAACCTTTAGATTTCAAACAGGATAGTCGCTCCGGTCCCCGGAAAATAGAAAGGGCAATTAGGGAAAAGAATGTGCAATACAACGTAAAACTATATGCAAAAAAAAAAACAACAGTTTATAAACGTTCGCAATGGTCTTGACGATTTCCGGACCTTTCTAGAGGCATATTTAAAATTGATTTTGCCTCTTCAACCAATGAAATATTTACACATATGATTATGTACCGTTTACTTAAAACTTCGAAGCAAAAAATGGTTGGTTGTTAAACGCTTCAGGGTCTCTTACAAGAATCTGAGCAATTTCACTGTTCACCATAACAACAAGTCAGTATCTTTTTCTTCTTGAAATGAATAGCCGTTTTCCAATATTTTCTCGATGATTAACCATTAGCATATGCACCAGAAATCATATTTAAATTAAAATTACACTGTTCAACACTTGCTTAATATCTCATAAAAAATATCAACGAATAAATAACATGATATAGGTAACAATTGTGAATAGATGCATACACTCACCAATTTCATAATAAAGATAACAACTAAATTTATACATGATCCTGTCATTGTAGCAATCATACCAGCAGTACTTTGTAGCATTGGATTATGATGACGATATAATATGGCTTTAATAACCAACTTGTATAGAACTACACTAACAAGGAAAGCTAATGTAAGCATAACCTGTAAGAGAAAAGGCGTTCAACATAACGACAAATGAATTAGATATCAAAATAAGTATATACTTATTTTCTAAGTGTTTATGTTGATAAAACAATGGAAATTTTAGAAATCAAGTGATCCATTACTCTGAGTTTATCCTTTTTACCTATATATGAGATACAACTTTCAACGGTATGTTCCTTTATCAGGTCGCCTTCTCACTCTCCTACGATCTGACTATGCAAGTGTAACTTCCGAATACAACAAAAACTTCTGGCACATACAGTTAACATCTGTATGATAGTTTCTCGATTAATCTCAACAGCTCAAGCTCAACAGAAGATGAGGCTGACTGACATTCCCTATCCCTCTTACTCGTGCTGATCCACAGATGCATCCAACTGAATTATATCCTGAAAATTTATCACAAATGACAAAAATAAAGCAACTGAAAACTGAATAATACATAATACTTGTTTACATCTACAAGTCAGTTATTTCGTACCAATGAATCTATGCACAGATACAAAAGATGTGCTTGATTAGTGCCAAAGGTTGAGCACACTATGCTGCACTGTTCTCTTCTATCACATAACTGTGAAACAATACAGCTAATAAACGTCACAGAAATCAAAACACTTCTGGTAGCCAACCACCACGCATACATAGTGGTATCAACAAGACAATAACACAGAAGTGAGGGTAGAGTTGAAGGTAAAGAGGAAAGTCAGTCAATTCAATGAGGTTATGAACTTTCATCAACTCACATGGCTGAGAAATGTGTCACGAGTGTCAAGTCACCATCTGCCTCTTTGTTTGATTTTAACTAATGTAGTTTCAAACTAGAGGATAGTTAGAGGCTAGATAAAAGATGGTATCAGTTCGCAAAGTTTCTAACTTTTGGTCTGAATCATGCAGGGAAGTGTAGAATTCTCATTAAGTAACCGCGAAGACTCTCGATGGTATGGTTGAGATTCGATTGTAATGATGCAGATAAATCTACACATTATCTTCATACTAATTGGCATATCGAATTTCGATACTATTTTACCTGTCTTCTTTTCATTTCATGATCTTCCACAATGTTTGATTACTTCTTTTCCCTTATTTATCTATCTTTCATCTGTGTAATTACTACCTACATGTGTTGACGTGGGGTGTGACAACTTGGATCCTTACACAGTAATATCAAGTTCCAAGTTCATCCTGACTATCTCACTTACCCATAATTCGTACAACAATAAGCAAGATATAGATCCGAAGTTTTTCAGCTGAGCTATACACTAATAATATAAGTTCACGCTGTGATATCCTCTGAAGGGAAACAATCCAACCAATCGTAATTATCTGAGATTCTTATTTTTCTTTCTTCAATTGGTAGAGTAGATTAGTACTTGAACAAATGGTAGAGATTAGTGAGTATTACAAGGTGAGAAATGGCAAAACTGGTTAAATATGCCAGCAAGAAACATACACATGTGTAATTCTCATTGACAGATACTATTTTTTTAATAAAGTTGATTGGAACTGTCACTGTCTGTTGAAGGTGTTTGTCCAACAAATTCATTCATAAAGAAACATTGTAAAGAAGGAAGAGAATCTCATCTATCAATTCATCAGTCTATAAACAAATCACTAAAACATCTTAGCCTTCAGCTATAGGTACTGAACATTATAAAACCAGCTGGACTACATAAAGATGACTTTGAAAGAAAGAACATCTCTGTTTGCAGTATAAGCGGACTGGCTTAGTCATATTTTTTAGGGCTCAATCAGCCGGTAGAAGCAGTTTGAGACTCAAATGAACTGAAAAAGTCGGTTAAAAAACCTTGATTACAAACAGACACTCAATACAAACAGCAATAGCAACAGTGAGTCCTTCCTATTCAGCAAAATTAGCGAGTAAAACAGGAATGCCTGATATCAAGTGAAGGTTGAGAAGGAGGAAGATAATATGGATCCAATTTAAGCCAGTTATAAGCAAAAGAATCAACACTACATATATCAAGTTCGTTGCGTCCTACTTCAAATGAACTGTTTCACAAGTGGATCGAAAGCTATCATCAAGGTAATTTAAAAAAAACCAAACAAAATCATTTTACCAGTATATAAATGGACACAATGATGAATGGAGTAACAAAAAAAGTATAAACAATTGAAAAGCTCCGATGCAACCCTCTTTTCTTTTAACACAGAACGTCACAAACATACCAGTTAAAAAACGCAAATAATAGCAGTGTGCTAGTAACAACCTTTTAGTCATATGTAGTGGAATAAATGAGTTAAAAATGACGAGATTAGGTGCAGGCAGCTAGGTAAGGAAGACAACTTGGTTGATGAAGTGATGATTCATCACCAGCCAAAGTGGTTTGGACATATATTTTGTATACCGAAGTTAATACGGTCTCTGAATGTTTGTCTGAGCGGTTTATAGGGGTGTAAGCTTTCTGGCTGCGTCCTGCAGATGATACGAATCCATGTTTGAAGGGTCTTGGTGACATGGCTGAAAATCGGTCACAATCGCGCAGATGTATAACACCCTCTTACATTTTCGAATGCTTGAAGATCATAACTAACCCTTATCACTTTGTTATCCTTTATTTCATACATTTTTGACTATTTTTGTCATTCATGTCGTATCCACCTTTCTGGCATGTAGCTGTGAAAAGGAGCAACTTGAACTGACTCACTTTTGTGCTAGGTTTCATGCTGATCCACCTGTCGATCATAGAAAAAGTCATACAAACCAACAAAAATATTTTTATAAAGGGGAACTTATATTCAGTATGAAGTATCTCAATCAAACAGTAAGAAGGTCGGTTTCACACCAGAGGAAATAAACATTTGATCAAAACGTTTTCTTTTTGAAAGAAAACCCCCGTTAGGAAAGTAAGGGTATTTGGCCAAATACTGCTACGTACCCTCAGAAGTTCACATAGTGGTATACAAACACCTAACCCCTATCCAATCCATTTCAGGATCCGTAATTCCCATAAGAAACACAGTAGTGTTTGATAACTGATTTAATCGGAAACCAAAGACTGACATTTTCAAACCTTATCATTTCATAATGTTAGATGACTTATGATCATACATTTCTCTGCCGTCACAGAACAGTCACATGATTCAAGAAACCATGACAACACACTGGTCAAAGAAAGAGTAGTAGAATGGTTAAGATATCGCTTTGAAACAAGTGGGATAATACATATCTAGGTATTAGGACCAACATGTTAGATAAATTATGATAACTTTTCTGCTTTCTATCTAAGCAGAGAGTATTTTTCGAAACAAAATAAAAGAATGGCAGATAGATGATAAATCTATCCCTAAAACATTTGGAAGGAAATGAAAATAAGCGGTAAATAGAGACATAGGCACAAGTATACATTATCAAAACGGCAAAGCAAACAAACAAAATCGATAAGAAAAGGTTAATGGGTGGAAAAATATCTGAAAATAAGGCAGATTGAACTGACATACAATATCATAGTATCATAGTCATTTGTATATATCCATATAAAATTGGAAACTAGTTTGATTTACTACACATCAGCATGTGGAAGCAAGTAGACAAAAAGAACGGCGAGACAGCTGTCTACCGGGATCGTCAACCATGTACACAAGAGACTATGTCTTAGAGGTTCAAATTTATTTAACAGTGAAATAGCGTATCACCTAGTTCAATACAGGGTACCAAAGCGACACATAGAAATCCTTTATGGTAATGAGCAGACAAATAAATTTCCGCCTACTTCAGTTTACTGACACCGCTGAGATTCAAGGAACTCGGCTCGCTTTAGGTAATCAAAAGCAGACGGTTACTAGCTTGATACTATCCTGGTAAGTAGTGACTCCTCACCGCTTCACCTTTTTCACAATTTCAGCACCTTTACATAGTACTCGTCCCCAATCACACTTATAATTACTATGAAGTGTGATAACTTGAAGTGATACACCTGTGTGAGGTTCTACGTTGATTTTCTCAGTCAGTCATATTAGTTATTGTTTCGTCACTACTACATTTGTTATTTTTATGGTAATTTGTCTCCCCTATTTATCTATCTGTCTAGACTATTTCTCTTGAAGTAAAGTAAGAAATTATCCAACATATCTTTAAAGAAATCTGGACATAGAGATTTGTCTTTGATTACAATTACCGTCCAAAAAATATATCACAAGCCACCTGCATTAGATACTGGTGGATATAAAGGATAAGTATAGTTATTGTCAAGTTTTGAGTAATCCATCTCCCAGGTTCAGCTGTCTCATTGATTGATAAATTGGTTGGGACAAGGTAAAGCCTGGCATAACTCGAAAGAACACCGAAAAGAAACTTAATCGAAAGAAGCATAAGGGAAGAGTGTGTGGTTGCAACATCAGTTTGGAACATTGCAAAAAGAAAGAGACCATGAACAAATATGAAAGACTGGCATTGCTCTTGAAATAATGTAAGCTATGCATTTCAAGAGACGATTATTTCAATCCAAGAGACTCCAAAAGGAAAATAAATAGATCTTGTATGTAACTAAAACGAACATGTAGTGAATCCAACGATTTTTGTTGTTCGATATAACAGAGAGCAATCTTATATCAAGTGACTGCTGTGTAAACCTAGAGTACAGTGATGACTAAGCCACACCAGATGAAGATATTGATAAGATAGGATTCATCTGGAAAATTGATTCGGAAGTTGAGAATGTTTGCGATGCGTTCCGCACCAACCGAATGTAAATTGTTGCTCCAGAACTGATCTTCCCTAGTGCTTTGTTTAAATATAGCGTGGACTAGTTGAATGCGTCAACCACTTCATTTACTAGGAAAATTAAATTAACCTAGGTGGGTCAGTGAACGACGAAACCTTGGCATGAATACAAAAGGCTCGATTGGTTTTAATGAACTAATGTCATCCACGACACTAACATGATATCCGATTGCCGATCAAAGGTTGAGCGCACTATGCTGCACTGCTCTCTTCTATCACATAACTGTGAAACAATACAGCTAATAAACGTCACAGAAATCAAAACACTTCTGGTAGCCAACCACCACGCATACATAGTGGTATCAACAAGACAATAACACAGAAGTGAGGGTAGAGTTGAAGGTAAAGAGGAAAGTCAGTCAATTCAATGAGGTTATGAACTTTCATCAACTCAAATGGCTGAGAAATGTGTCACGAGTGTCAAGTCACCATCTGCCTCTTTGTTTGATTTTAACTAATGTAGTTTCAAACTAGAGGATAGTTAGAGGCTAGATAAAAGATGGTATCAGTTCGCAAAGTTTCTAACTTTTGGTCTGAATCATGCAGGGAGGCATAGACTTCGCGGTTAGGTTCCACGTGACGTCGGAAATTAGTGCATGAAGATTCTGACAATCGATGTTAATGGCGCAGCTACGCCCACGTATTATCTTGATAACAATTGCCATTTCAAATCTCCGTACTGTTTTATTCTTTCGTGTTCCCTTTCTACAACTTTTCACCAATTTCGACTAATTTGGTTCTTTCTCTATTTTTTGTCTTTGTGCATTGTTGCTTGATATGCTAACATGACGTGTGGCGAATTGAACGGTCACACAGCAATATCATATCCCATGCTGAGGTTGACTTGACTCGAACCACAGTAACTGTGGTGACTTGCGACCAGAGGTTAGCAAACACAAAAAAAGGTTTCGGCAATCTCATCCAAACTGACTGATGCGAGAAGACTAAGCCGAGCCGCGTCTGATCATGATGAAGAGGTGAGAGCAACTTAGACGTAAATTGACCAGGAGTCTTCGAAATGGTCGCGAGCATTGGTGTATGGCGAGAACAAGAGAGGTGGAGAGGGAGAGGATGAGGACTAAGTGATACTTGGTAACTGTTTAAGTTTACGAGGAGCACTAGCAAGAAAAAGACAGCAGTAAGTGATACCATAGCGAAAAAGGCTGAGATCCTGATATTCTTTCGGAACAGTTGGCCAGAACGTTAGGCGGAACACTATGAGTGACGCATCAGCTGGTCAACAACCACGCTTCGGTTGCTCAGTATCCAGCACAACTTCACGCTCAAAGAGCAATGAAACTGCTAAAATGTACACAATTCGAGGTAGAAATATCTACGAGTATATCATATTCATCGATGATAGCTCCAAATATGAAGTAATGTATTTTCAGTCACTTATCTTTAAAAATTACTGTATACGAAATTGATGTAGTTAAAAATCGTTTCTATGTAAAAGATGCACAACATCAGGATTAAATTCAGATGAATATTGGTCACGTATTTCATGTAGCATCATTTAATCATCCAAGTTCATAGTATGCATGAATCGATTAGTATAAAGATAATTTTTTATTGATGTTAACTGAATAGCCAATAGAAAGTGTCAGAAATCATTTTCATCATTTACTGAACTTTCGTAAATAGGGAGAAACTTTGACGAAGTACAGAGTCATGCTTGTAGCCAAAACGTCGTGACTATGAATCATGAAAATAGAAGAGACTGAGGTGTGGAATTCATTACTACGCCTTATCAAATGCACTTAACTTGCGGTGGTCTACGTACTTCCTTTTAGTGCATACGCGTGGGAGTAGACAAGTAAAATTAGAAAGAGTGAACGATACCCTTTGATCATTCTTTTATTTAGCTTCTACGAAGATATAATTAGTGAAAGCGGCTACTCAACGTTATGGTTGGGGCTTATAAACGAGGATTTAGGCATTATTTTGGCGTAAGCAAATGGTCTCTCGAAAATCGCATGGAAGACATATGTCATTACCGTATTGCTAGATCAAATTCAACGTAAGCACTCTATACATTCAGCCGATTTACAAAACGTTCCTCCGATTTCGTAGCACAATGACTTATATAAACACTATTATTGCATTAATCATACTAAAGTTTCTTCGAAATTGGTTATTTATGTAAACTAAACCACTTAGTACATGGGTTTCACAGACCACAAATTGTATACCGAAGTATTATTATTTGTTCTTTGGGTTTCTAGTGGGACATAGGGCTTTGTATATCGAATTAGATTCACTGAAAAGGATGACAAATTCGCAATTTTGACTAGAACAGTAACCATTCAAAGTACTAAACAAGACAATTCCATATGAAAGTACTTCCACTATATACACATGCCACTGCAAGTTTCATTTTCTTCGAGAATTAGCATATTACACGAATTTGAGACCAATAGGCAATCAACGTAGTTTTTTAATCATATATACTAAGCAATAACCGAAGTAATCTAGCACTTACTATATTCAATTTTAGAGGTTTGTGGGGATTTATTGATTTGAAGTCAGTATTCATCATGAACTGACACCAGTCCGATGAATATAACGACAAGAACTTAAAGATGGCATTGGATGGAGGTTGTGCTGTGTCGTGAGCTGAAAGAAGTAGAAAAAATGTGAACCATTCGACTCAAACCCAGTGGCTTAACCTTAACATGCTAACCGTGAAACGTAAAAGCCCTGGGTTCAATCCACAGCAGGTTGATGAGTGTGAGCTGCTGTGATGAAACAGTCGTTCAGTGTTTCCAGGTTTGCAATGGTTCCCCAACTGTTGCCAATCCGTTACAAATACCGATTTACCATATTGTCACATACACACTATATAAAACAGTAAAACTGTACGAATAAGCAAGTTTATCAATTTTAAGATGTATAACAACAGTCACTTATATATGCAGATAATTGTAGTTCAACGTCTCAATCAGTCATTATCACTATGAGACCTGATATTACTGTGTAATGGTTAAAGTTGTCACGTATCACATCAAAACATCAAAGTAGAAAGCACTAAAAGTAAGAAGTAAAAACAAAAGAAACCCAAATTGGTAGTTGAAAGTCATAGAAATAAGAAGAGATAAAGCAGTAACGGAATCCGGTATGCATGGATGCATCTGCGCCAATGACATCGATTTTGAACCATGTCTGACACCTAGATTCATCAACCAGAATCTAGAATCATTATTCAAAGAACGCACTAAACACATTACAGTTTGAGCAATCAAGTCAAATCTTTGGACACATACACAGACAGTTAGCATAGGATCCCTAAACAGATCAAGCTGTAAAACTATCGCAGTAACGCAGCAGAATATTAAGCGGAAACGGAGAAGGATTATGACGAGCATAAAAGGAGATGGCAAAAAAGATAACAAATAAATGAAGATTAATAAAGACGTCAAAATATTAAACTCAGTAAAGAGTGAATAGATTCATACTGTTGTCAAGACTGAGATGGATAGTGATAAATTTGTTTATTGGGAAATCACTAAAATATCACAGTCTTACATTGAACACAGTTCATGCAACTGGTCACTCCATCCTACATACGAGTTGAACTGACATTCAGCTACTGTTGCTGTTTCCATTACCTTCTGAATTTTCTTCCCATATTTCTCATTTCCGATTCCAGGTACCAGATAAACTGAGTGGATGATGATTGATATAATTGAAGCACCCAGTGGACTCACTTTTATACTGCCTCTTTGAGTTCGTATAAGTAGCACACACCACAATACAGTTGTTGTTTATTCTGAGTATGATCACGGATGGCCTCTAAACATCGATTTCTAAGATTTAGAGGATCGAATCGAATCAAAACCGAAATTTGTGGTGCTGTGGCTCATCGGCTTATGGGGATGAATTTCAACCAGTGGTTCATGGGTTCGAACTCCGCTACAACTACCGAAGACCCAAGTCAGATACCCTACGTCTGACTGCATTACTGGAACCAACAATAAACAACTTCGTGAGCTGGAGCTATGTTCCAACCTTATCGTACTCCAGCTAACAATATGGTTTTATAAAAACCTATGGTCTAATAAATACTAATTTGTATTTTACTAATAGACATTTCACTTACAACAGTATTGAAAGTATTGCAACGAACATAAACAATTTTGATTATTTTCTAACATGTCAACATCAGAGGATTCAGATTTTTCGATTTATTACCAAAAAAAATAAAATACTACAAACAAGTTATGTGAAATAAGATAAAATGCTGCAGCTACTACAACTGCCTTAACTTTTAAGTATTCACATTTCACGAAGATACGACAAAAGTTTTGAAACCAACTTCCTAACATGAACGGAACGTATCAGTAACGATAAAGACATAGAATATGATGAGGATTAGTAACTATACTGTAAAAAAGCATCCACACCATAACTGAATGAGACGGTAAAAAATTACGCGTTTTCTGAGGCAACTGATCAAGTATACAGATTGAAATATTTGGGATAGTTTCAAAAGAAAAATCTGTTAAATATTAAATGTAAGAACAATCATATATACCATAAACACCACCACCACCACCACCAACAACAACAACAAATAACACCACAAAACTATGTAACTTACAGCTAGCAGAACAGTAGAGTAACTGATTAAGATGACTGGTATTTTACGCCTCCAGAATGGAATAAATGGTTCCATGTACTAACAGAGAAGGAAAAGTAATATCATAGTTTAATAGACAGATATTAGGAAAAATTTACACAGTAAGCATTCACTTTGCTGGTATCCAACTATAAGTCAAGCATACTGACAATCATTTTTGGTTACTTCTTGACAAGTAATTAGCAAATAGTGGAATTTTTACTTTCATTGTTTACAGACTTACTATGATGATGAGAGTTACAAAAAAAACATTAAATTGTACAGCTTTATCTTGATTGTAGTCAAACATAGCATATCAAACGTGATGAACTGTAGAGTTCTGTCACTTGATGAATGATAACAATCATGCACTACTGATACTAGGGGATGATTGAAAGTGAAATGAAAACCTGGATCACTGCAGGATTCAAACCAGTGGTTGGGTCAGCAACCAAGAGATCACTGGTTCGAGTCCTGCTGCTACCCAATTTTTTCATTTCACCTTCAAACACCATTCAATATCAATGCAAGTCTGCCAAACCACAACTATATATCAGATACGCTCAATAAAAATGCATTATTATGTATTAAACAAAGTTTGGTGTATAAGCCAATTATTCTGTGCAGACAATCTTCCGTATGTGCTGATGGTTTGATTTTTCTCTGCGATTCAGTTTTCATAAGTAGACATGCCCAGCTAACTGACTGAGTGAATATGAAAAGCCTCTCTATGAATAAATAATCAAGTTGAGAGACCTATTAAAATACTAGAAAATTCCTAATTGAATTGTAAAGTGGCTATCGTGTCTCCGAGGCATAGTGGATAACACCTTGGCGTTTGAAGCGATGGGTATAAGGTTCGAGTCTCAGTGGAAACAACATCAATCACTGGTGGCAAGTACACCCAGCTGACGAGTCCAAGATAGGACGGAAATGCGCGTCTTGGTTCCGTTTGCTAGCCACAAACAAACAACTTATCATATTTACCACATCATCAGTATAACAACACTATATGAAACTGAGAATAATCTAAAAAGTCCATAAAATGAAGCATATTTACAAATGCTACAAAATAATCGAAAAAAGAATAACAATGTTCACATACACCAGTCATAGGATTAATTCTTCGAGGACATCTTTTATTGAGTAGCGCCATAAATTCTGGCCTAGGCGGTTGGTCCATTGGTTCTAATGAGCTCACATTCCATTGATAAGCTAATGAGACTTGTTTACGCTTCCACATCTCGAAAAATATAACAGCTGTTTAAAGTATATAGACAGCAAAAATAAAAAATAAAAGACATTTTATATAGTTTACATACTTTAGAAATTACGGCCCTTAGGCCACTGAAGCATGAGAGTCAAGTCCCGTAAAATCACAGGCATGAACAGTCAATGAGTAATGCAACTTAACCCGGTACATGCTATGTACTAGGCTATAAGCCACACTTACTGTGCATTGGCTTGTGATACTACGCTTCTGCCAGAATTAGAATACTTGAAACGGAGTTCCAAACCGGAACCCATCGCCTGAAGATAGATGTAGCATTTGAGTTCTAAATACTACAAGCTGGATTAAAACACAGCTCAACCTACTTCAGCCTGAGTGATCAGGTAGTATAATAAGCCTTTGAAAAATCAATGTAGCTTGTAGTCTAATACGCAAACACTTGTACTGGGTTGAGTTTCACTAATCATGAATACTAGCAGGTAAAGACAATAAAATCATTAACTACGACAATCGTTTTTCATGATCAAATTCGATGAACAAGAGAAACAGATCATAAATAAAAGTATGGTTGGTCGGTTTTTCGGACCAATGTATCATCGTATTCACTACAAAGTTGCTATATGTCAATCAAAATAACAAATCAATGTTTACTGCAAACAGATGGTTTAATATAAAAGGAAAATGTTTTATTTTATTTTTACATATTGCATTAACGAAGACTTCCTAGTAGTAATTAAAGTATTACATGAGAATAACTTCATATATTAGTATTCGTCTTGATGACTTACAGTGGAACCCAAGGCACCTGTTTCGTCCTGATCGGAACTCGTAAACAGGATATACCTGCACTTCAATGAGTGATCGTGTTCCCACTGACATTCGAACGCAATGCTCATCGCTTCAAACACCAGAGTTATCCACAGGGCCACTGGGGCACGACAATCGCAACTTCTGCAACGGGTATCACTTGTTGTTGCTTGATAATTGTAATTCCTAGTTGGTAAACAGGGTCAAATTGCTTGATCTCAAATTATCAGACAACGATGATATATGAGTAGTTAGCTATTTAGTATTTTAGCTCAGAATGCTTTCAAAGTCAAGAAATTTATGTGTTGATTTTATTTAAACTTAAAAACTTTCAGGTGAATAATATTAATCTTTATTACGTGGAATAAAAATCCATAGAGACAATTTAAGGACAAGTGGAAACACTTAGCTTCTAGCAATGTAGTACACAAAATCAGTCAGACTCCTATTACTTTGATCTTTGGAGTCTGGAATAACTGATAATCAGTATGATGAAGAATTCTGTACTAAATCCTATTTTGCAGAATTTTGGCTAAGTAGTTGAAGAAATCATACCTGTAAACTGTTATATCTAGAAATAAATAAGATGCTGATTGCTTACGCTTTGTTATTGAATGAATGAAAAACAAATTACTTACTGAATGTATTTTATGAAGTCGGTGATCCTTTTGTTTAAGGATGGACGAAATACAATGAGAATATATGAAAAAAAAAGTGAATACTAGTCAACTCTTGTAGAGATAGAAAAATAAGATGTTCATAGAGAAACAGCTCCCGTTGCATTCAAGAGCATCTCATAGCATAGCTAAGCAAAGGGGAGCTTAAACCCATAAATCGCCCAATATGCAGTTGACGTTAGGGAGTCGGTTGTGAAAATCATCAAATTCTGGACGGATACAAACAGTAATAAACATCTTTCCAATGCCTGTGAATGACTGAGCTCCAATAGACGCAACTAGGTCTCTGTAGTCTCTCTTCCAGCTCGAAATAACTATCCTTTTTATAAACTTCACTTGTCATGTATTTCAAGAAGCAGCAGTAGGAAGTGTAAACCACTCTCACAACTCCTTCAGCACTCCTACATCGAGTCTTCATTTGCATCTCCTTATTAATATTCCTACGTCATCTCAAATTTCTTATAGCTCCACGGCCCTTGATAACGACTTGACTTCACGGAATAGCATCCCTGGTTTCTTGACACCATTTTTCACACTACATATCGGAGCTTTCACAGTGCTCACAACACTTTATCAAATCGGACAACAAGCTTCTCCAAACAAAACTCTGCCATCTCAAGAAATAGACGTATGATGTGTTCATGAGAAGCGCAAATACAGTCCAGTCGAGGCTATTCATTTAAGACAGCGATCAGTGTAGATAATTTACAAATTTTAACCTTTTGGGATCTCGAGGCTCCTTCGGTAGTTCTTGTGGTCTTGTCTTGCAGGTGTAGGCACAGCGCCAAGCCTCAACGCATAAGATGAACCACTCACATGGATCCCAAGTTGACAGCAGTCTGCAGGCTATTCGGATTGATGGTGAAGTAAAGTCTAAAGGAATAGAAAAATTCACCGTTATCTCTCTTTTATCTTTGCTTATGACCTAGTCGATTGCAGTTCGGAAGAAGATAAAGTTAAGGACAACAGAAAATCCTATCCCCCACTAAAAGAGGAATGAGCATATGTGATTGTCGTAGAAGTAAACTTTAATACAACGTAGACAGATTAGTTATGGTGAATGTACTTTTGGAATCAAGAGAACAGATAACGGCTGTTGCGGGATACAACTGTGCTCAAAATGTCCCTTACTTTTCGGCCAGCATAAATTTAAAACACAAAGGAAGAAATGCTTTGAAGTGGTGATCATTGACCTCAAGTTAAAAGTTAACGCACATAGGCCATATGGACACCAATTACCGCTGCATAGGATAGATGAAGCATTGTTATTCCCTATAGATTACGTACATATGAAGACTATAGCTAGAAGATTATCCCAAACTCAGCTTGGTAAGGGTCTCAAAGCTGCTTTTCTAAAGTAGCTGGCTAAGTAGTTGGTGAGCTATGGAAAGATAACACATCCGAAAGAAGCCTGATGCAATCTCCAGTCTGCAGGAAAACTAATGGTGAAGACTGGAACTGATAATAAAAGAAAGGCTATAGAATGTAAGTGGGTCTTATTAGCTTCCATTGAAGGAATGGATGGACGTGGACGCATCCCTGAGAAATTCAAGCACAACAAGGAGTGAAGCAGCCCAAATGCAGATTAACTATGGGCAGCAAAGGTGAAATAAATAGAGATGATCGGCAACAGCAGACATTTATTGAGACATCAAATAAACTGGAAGAAAGCCGGTGATTCTTCAGACCAATAAGGAGGAGAAAAATGGGTCTGTAATTCACTGATTCAAACTTCTGCTCAAAACATTCAGAAGACCCTGGTCAAGTACAAAGGGAAATTTTTGTCAATACTGATAGAAGTAATAACAGTGCGTGATGCGACTCATCAGCTTAAGCATCCAACTACTCAGCAATAAGTTCTGCGTTCGAATCTTACCTACTATAATTTTCTAACTCGATTAATACCTCATAGTCTAGTGTGCAGTTCGTTAACTTAAGCTTTTAATTTCCAAGAAGTGAATCTCGGGTTCAAACCTCACTCCAGTCACTATAAACAGAACAAACAGGAAACCTCATAAGCCTTCACAGAACAAATTTGACTCATAGCCCAATACGTAAGGATATGCAGGGTTAAGTTGCATCACTTAGTAGTAATAACGAAACGCCCACAATGCGCATCAGCTCCACAAAGCACACCAAACCTTAATGTTATTGAAAAGGGAGCACTAATGCTTTCTAAAACCGACTATCAATAAAACTAAGTCAACTCTACTGTTTACGTGCTATTAACAGAAGGTTAGGAATACCAACGACTTTCTCAGCTGCTAACTACAACCAAGCTCTATCCAATAAGCAGTGTCACAGGTAAAAGTTTAGAGAAAGAACTAACGGTCAGGGGTTTTCCCGTACCTTCTATGTCAATCTCTGAAACAGTTAATGCTTGTTTAGTTTCGACTATATCTTTTGGCTAACGCCATTAAGTCCCGTCAAATCTTGACGTTTAATGACGTTAAGGGTTAATCGGTAAGAAAACTTGCTTGACCTAAGTTTCATTTTTGTTGGCACTTACCAGCAAGAAACATGAGTGACATGAAGAAAGTAGTGTTCCCCCGGTGATTCGACTCAAGAAAGTATCAAAAACATCTAAAGTTAGAGACTTTACATACAGTCTATTTAGACCACGATTAACCCCTACAGGTCTGGATTATTTTATGGAGTCGATATCCAATGGGTGAATACTGTTGATGTCCACTAATGATTGCTGATTAGGCAAAGGGAACCAGGCAGGGAACGCAATTCAGTCGATGAGGTTGCGAATCTTCCATCGACTGAGGTGGCTTGGATATGTGCTGTTCATATCAAGACACCACCTACCTCGACGTGCCATGCTGAGGAAAGTTCGATTAGGTTAGAAGTGTTTAGGCTGGCCAGACCGAGACGTGGCATTATTCAATAAAGTCCCTCACTGTTGATCTGAGCCGTGTGAGGTGATGTAGACTACTTGACTGAGGTCCCCAAGATGATAAGAATCAGTGGTTGAGATTGTCGTTGACATGGCTGAAAATCAGTCACGATGTAGCAGACATATTCACTCTTGATATCCAAAGCTGAAATATTTTGAAATTTCCTCTATCTCTATACAGCTTCGTCTAATTTGATATCATTCTTTCCTACCTGCTCGTTCTTTACATGTTGCTACAAACTGTGGCAACTTGAACCGATGCACTTGCGTATGACGTTCTGTGTTGAATTTTCTGTCTAAGAAGTGCTCAGAGCCGACTGAAATCCATTCATCAAGTTTATCACATCTTTATGTATAAACTACTGAAAAGCACTGCCTTCCAACATATCTGTGCCATATTTTTTTTTATAGCTTTATTTTTGTTCTCGCTGAGAAATGCAAAGTATGAGGAAACTAGAAACTAGTAGATTAAGTTTTGTTGTATAAAAAGATTGATTCACTTCCAAGTATATATTAATTTAACGAACAATAGTTAACTTCGGTAATTGTTGTTTTTTTCCGCATATTTCCTTAGTTAAATATTTACCCTAATTATTTATGTTTCTCATATTGTATATTTTCCGTACAGATATTCGCACTATCCAAAGATTGGATCCTAATTTGATCATTGAATAGATGAAGAATTTCATTAAAACTTATTGCTAAAATCCATCGATATTTTTACATTGTTTTTTTTTTTAACCTTGATATCGTTATCTGTCTCAGATTCTTTAAAAGAGATTCTTTTCGGCTATTTCATTCACTAAACTGCATTATTGTATTTATGTACAATCCTATTACGAAATTTGTTTTGTTTGCAAAAGCAATTTGTTAGACACATTGTAAAATAAACAAAATGTTTATGAATGTTGAAGAAAAAGTTTTTTAAAAAAAAAGGTATAGTATGGTAATCAAGCAAGACTTTGAGTTGTCATGACTTAAAAAATACAGAGTGGAAATTCAGTGAATTCAATTAATTATGAATAATTAGTTGAGTAGTATGACAAACTATTTATTGAATGAACTGTTATCAAGATATGATTATAGAAACTAGGAATAGTTAATAATAGATATGAAATAAGTGGGATAGAAGAGTTCGAAAGGTGGGTGTTTTGAAGCGCTAAAGATTAAGACTATGAAAGCAAGGGGGGGGAAGGGATTGAGCAAGTCCCTTTCGTTTGCAAAAGTTTGTTTTCTTGAAGATTGTATAAAGAATCATGAGTATTGAAAATGCTTTTGAAGGTACTTCAAAGAAACCATATGTACCTAACACAAAATCCCTTAAAATCATTCAAAGAATGATATCGACTATATACGTTCAGGTATATAAGTGCTAGAACAACATATTTCTCAAAAATTCTCTAAGTTTTATGATTTATAATCCATTAAATATCAAAAATCTACTTAATGTATCACTATAATCGCTGACAAACAAATACAATTTGTCAATTCTAAACTATCCAAGAGCTTAGAATCTATCGAAACATGTCGAAAACTTCTAGATGATCTCATGAGATTCTCAATTTATTATTCGTGAACATCTTTGTTGACCTTATATGTGAAAGTCTTACTTCAGGGTCTAAAATTCTGTGATATTAGCTTCAATGTCAACAAGCTTCATACAAATGTAACATTCAAAAGTTTATTCAGCTGAACCAACAATCTTATATCGGTCTTCAACCCTTAGCTTCGATGCTTTAAATTAACCATTCTACAATGTTTTCATCATTATCCTAACACAAAATCAGAAGTTAAGCGTCTATCAATATCGAGAACAACTAATACAACTGAAATACTCAAAGAATTTATTACTAACACATCCTATTAAAGTACAGACACAGTTCTCATAACCCGAAACAACTACGTCGAGAAAATGTAAAGCCTACACTCAGAAAAAAACAGATCTGTTAAAACTACAAACGAAAGAAATCTAACAAAAACAATTCAAACAAAAATAACTAAAGTGTTAAAACGATTGGAAAAACAATCATTGGATCAGCCATGTTTATGAAAACACAAGATCAGCAAGTTCAAAATACCATGGTTTTATAATTTCCCTACAGGCTCTAGAACACAGGCATACTTACCGACCAGCGGTCAACACATCACATTTCGTGACTAGAAGGAGGCAGCAGATTCTATCGACCGTGAGGTGTTGTCGTAGTATCAGACAGTGAAGGGAGTGCCGAGGAAGCATATAATGCTTATCAAAGCTTTCAACTCGAACTCACGCATCCGTGTGAGTGCAGGCTCATGGAGAGTTTTCATCAGATATGACGACAAATGGTGGTATCCCTCAGGGATATTCAGTGTCACCGTTTCTATTTAGCTTCCTCATAGACGCACTTATGGACAAGATCTTAAGTACCTATGACTTCACAGCGATTGGCCTACTCCCTGAAAATCATTTGGTTGGTTTGGAGTATCAAAACGATGTTATCGTACCAGATGAAAACGTTAACAAGATGTAGGGTCTTCTGGACGTGTTGAGACGAAATCTGAGTCTGTTTCCCATACGCTTCAGTGTCACCTGTCAAATATGTGAAGATGATTCAAAACCGGTCTGCTGCAAATGTCATTAATTGCATGGGTTTTTCTATTGACTTTTGCTTCCCTATCCACGATCTCTACATTTTCAAGATTGAATTCATGTCCATATGGATTAGTATGAGTGACGAAATGTTGTGATGTTCAGTAGCCAACTGATTTTCATGTAAACATTGACGAAGAGATCGACCACTTTGTCCAGCGTAGTGCGGATCCCAGTTGCTACAGTTGGCTTTGTAAATGATATTCAGCTTGTCTTCTTTGGCTGTTGCGTCCTTCGGTTTGCATAATATGGTTTAAAGGGAATGTATTGATTTATGAGCCATACAAATTATAAATGGTCTCAATAGTCCCGTCGTGATCTCTGATATTTTCTTTATGTATGGATGAGACATGCTACTGAATCACACACGTAGAAATCTGGATAACCCATTTCATACTGAAGTTGGTGCCTATGCTGCTGTCTAGAACGACAATGAAAGCTTCGCGATTAAATGACCAAGATCAGAGAACGCAACACAACCGAAATCAACCCATGGAGCTACAAATATTCTCTAACATTCACCACGCGGTACTGATTTGCTATCTTGTATTTTGACCCAATCAAACAGTAGGGTTTATGCGATAAAAAAAGCACACTAAGTAGCCAGGAAAACTTTCTCAGTCATGAATTTTAACTGTCACCTACGATTCATCATCTTAGTTGACAGAGAGTTAACAAGGGTACTGAAGACTACTCCTGTCAGTAGTTAGCCTCATTTTATGTTCCTTTTATATAAAAAACGAATCAAAATGAACTTCTTTCATTTATCGTACAAAAGTCAATAATGGGAACGAAGAAAAACAAAGTTAGATATATAATATCTTACCCCAGAGAGACATAACAACGGCAAATACAACTGTTCCTTCATGATCCACTAGCCGCATCAACTTGGTACGTAAACAAGATGTATCCAGTGTCCAAAACTTACACTTGGAGGATTTACACAGTGGACACATGAGCACACTATGGCCAAGATTACAGACTTCATGTCTTCAGTGGCCAAAAATGATGGTGAAAAACAACAACAGGAATGAAAGCGATATACCATAGACATGAAAAATGAAAACAAACTGAACAATGCATAGATATAAAAACTATATGGTAATTTTTATAACTTAATTGGTTGTGGCTAGCAAAGGAGTCCAGGACACGCGTCTCGACCTATTTTAGACTCATCAGCTGGTTGCAACTGAACCTCAGTGAGTGATGTTATTCCCACCAAGACTCGAACCCAGTACCAATTGCTTTGAAGACCAAAGCGTTATCCACTAGGCCACTAAGGCACGATAGTCTAGGACCTTTCATAGTTTTATACGTCATATAATAAGATCATCAGCCTTAAGATGTCTATTCAGATTCTACAGATATTATGCAACTGTCTTGTAACAGAAAAAGGTGTAGTTGCATTTTTGACATACGGCTCTACATCATACGCATGCTAAATGATGACGGATTAGAGCATACTTCCAATTCTGTCGACTGAAGTGTTTTTAGACCAGAGAAACGTCAGAGACGGTCAGACTACAGCTTGGTACCAGTAGTCCACGAAGTCTCTCATTGTTTATCTGAGCTATGTAGAGAAATAACCCAGTTTATTCGCATGACAACTGAAATCGTGGATTGAAGACTTTAGAAGATATGGCTTACAGTTAATATCATTGGAGAGGGAGGGGACGGTATTGCCTCAACGCATTATTTTCAACCTTACCGATATTTCGTACTCCGTTATTACTTCATCGCTCCTTCTCTTTCTCTCTCTTGTGATTCCTATAACTTTCAATTACTTACGCCCAGCTATTTCTCTATCCTTCTTCTTGGTGACCCCTTCCTAGATGTGCTGATGTCAGGCGTGGCAACTTGGACTGCTACACAGTGATGCCAAGTCGCATGTTGATTTCGGGTGATTGATTATGCTCAATAACCATAGCATTACTATCTGAACTGATGTGCCCCAGTTTCCCAACATTCGACGGATTGTATTCAGCTACCAATTGCGTGTATTCATTCAAACTACTACGATTTACCCTATTGTATCTAGGCAACTGATTATTGAACTGACCAATTAGGGTTCTATATTTTATGCACAAAAGACTACATTTTCAGTCCAAGTAAAGATGAATATCAACTTGAGAAATCACTAAATCCTCCCTCAAATTCAATTGATCTAGTGCTCATTGGTGACTAGCTTCGGGAGGTGATTCTTGAAGTTCCAATGAGAAGTCGTGACCGGTGGAGTAGACCTGATGAACATGAGGACAAATACTCAACGATGACATCGGATGATGATCGCGTTATGTTGTGAGCTGATGGGAGTAGGAAGTATAGATCATTGGATTCTAACCCAGTGGCTCAATGGTAACGTGATGGCCACGGAACCTGAAGGTTCTAGGTTCGATCTCTGGCGGGATCATGGGTGCGCATCGCTGAAGAGTCTTATTACCAGTGCTTCTGGGTTCCGAGTGTTCCTCTAACTGATATCCGTCCATGATGAATACCAACTTGAAAAGTCACTAAACCCCCAAATCTTAGTAGAGAAACCTGTCTGGTTATTTCAATAACTGCTAGCTAGAGTGGCCTCTTTAAAGAGTCACTCAATATCACAGATCTATCCTTGATTTTTTAACAAGTCAGGCAATATCTGCTTCTCTGCATTAGAGAGAGATTTCATGGATTTTTTTGTAACATAGTTTAACTGAGTTAGAATATCGTCGATGCATGTCTTAATGTTTCTTTAACACTCGGGGGTATGCGCTGTTGGTGGTTTCAAACTGAGAAACAACAATGGGTGTGTCTAATCCCGTTTAAAAGTATATGATGAAAAAATAATTTTCAATTGAAGAAGTTTGTAAAGCCGTTATACTAAATAAATATGAGTTTGTGGTGAAAAAGAAAGCTTTTATTAGTTATACTAATTTGTAAAATCTTTTGCGTGTGAAACTACCATTATTACAGTCTACGTAATCACTTAGATCGACCTAGTTGATTCATTGAATGCGTGTTGCAACGCATTTATGTGATATTCATTGGAGAAGTATTATCTATTTTATAGGTCAATGAAAGTAGAGTACGATAGAGGTGAAGATAAGGTGATTGAGGTTTTCTGCATGTATATATTAAGTTCAATTAAAGAACACTTGAAAATAAAGGTTCAACAAAGATATGATGTGAAGTCATGACGTCAGGGTTCATTGGTCCTGTAAAACTTTCTGTTTTATGCCCATCACACACCATAATTCATAAAAGCAACAGCAAAAAATGATCAGTGATGTATTTTATTTTGAGGTTATTGAGCATTTTAATTTTAACTGATATCAGTTGGAGGAAGAATAGAGACCTTGGAGCACTAGATATCTGTTTCGCCCTGGTATAGGACTCCTCAGCAATACGCACCCACGACCTGGATAGCGATCGAATTCAGGGCCTTCAGGTGTCACGGTGAACGCCTTGAGTATACGGCCGCTGGGTTGGAGTTCAATTGTCTACAGTTTCCTACTTCTGTTAATTCGTGACATAGAGCTACTACTGTCATTCAGGGTCATCAGTTGGCATACGCTTCACTTCCGACTGCTTGACCCTACAAGTTGCGGCTTCTCAGTAGGAATTCAGAATACCTATCTGGAAGCACATCACTAATGAGCACTATATAGTAAAGCATTTTGAGGCCAATGGTGATTTTAATTTTAAGGTAGTATTCCAGATGGATATCCCGAAGTTCTATTGAGAAATCATGACTTGCGGAGGAGTCAGCTAGTCAGAAGTGAAGCGGATGCCAACTGAAGACCTAGGATGATATTCACACTATATCGCGAATTGACAGAAGTAGCAAATCGTGGATTTTTGATCTCCGACTTGGTGGTTGAATGGTTAACACGGTCGACGTGAAACTTGAAGGTTCCTAAGTCGACCTCTAGCGCAGTCGTGGGTGCTTACTGCTGAGGAGTCCCTTACAAGGACGAAACAGCTGTCCAGTGCTCTCAGGTTTCTCAATGGTTCACTAACTGATCCTAGTCCATGATGAATACTTTAAAATAATATATTTGACTTAAATGGAATTATTTTGCAACCATAAGATACACAAAATCGAGTGAGGAGTCAAGAAAACGTTTTGAGCTTAAAGGCTAAACAACACTACTACAAGATAAGTCTTATGTGAAATTTCTTTAAATAACATGGCTAATGAAATCTACAGATCAGCCGGAGTGGCTTCTAACAACTCAAGTTGTTCAGTACTAGTAAATTACTCTAGTTCATGACACGTTTATGTCAGAGATCACACCTCATGATCTTCGTTGAGGACTGGTGTCAATGGAAACCCCGTTGACACCACAGCTGGGCAGGTTAAAAACTACTCACCTGCAAGTAATGTTAACATGGGCCATGAAGTTTGTATATCATTTGCAAAGTAATCATCCGCTTTTAGGTACCCCGATCTATGCAAGTCATCTAGTTGGATTCAAGTGGTCTGAACTAGTTCGGCTGTATGAACTGAATTTGTCCAGGCACACTGCTGGTGGGCTTGGTCTCGAATAAGAGAAATGGTCGTCCGGTGTTAAGATCACTCTGATCTGTCTGGTGAAATACTATGGATCAGCCTCAGTGGTTTTTAACTCCTGAAGTAGTTCACTACTAGCATATTTCATCGATGAAGTCTAAGTCTGAGATTCTTATTTTCATTTCTTCGTCTGATATAACCAAAGTAAACAATGAGTCCGACTGATTGTATGCATTGTTTTTTATGCATACTGCATTTTTCTTTGGTGCTGTCTGTGCTGTGATATTCGTTCTTACACCTTATCAGTTGTATACTCTGAGTCATATGATCCCTATTGTTGATATTTTGAGTTTCATTCGTTGTATGATACAATAAATTCACATCTCTTTCTGATCACCACTCAGTTTTAAGAACTGTAATCAATCAAGTGCAATCAGATTTAGTCGATCATTTCGTTCTCATGAGAAGAGCTAATCATTTGATCATAACACCGTAAATCGTATCTGTATTCGCCTTTAAAGTATGATTTTCGCTAGCAATCAACAACAATTTCATAACATTAATAAGAGAAATACTGTCAAATTAGTTAGTCATGAAAGTAGATGTTCTGAATCCCTGAGGCACTAGGGTTAAAAGCCAGTTCATTCATTGTTGTTTTGATACTTGTATATTCCTGATGTTATACAGGACGGAATCCCTCGACCTTTGATGGCAGATGGGCTCCTACGTGGAACCCTCAATACTGTCGGATATTCATATTATATTCATCTTGGTGACTAGCAGTGGAATCCAGAATGCGCATTTCATCCATGTGACACAAAAGAGGTCGAGCAATTGGACCCTGTTGTATACCAACGGGAAATTACAAGTATCAAACAATCCAAAATGCTACCCGTTGTAGAAGTTGTGGCTTTTGTGCCCCAGTGGTCTAGTGGATAAGGCTTTAGCTCTTGAAACGACGGGCATTGGATTCCAGTGTCAGTGGGAACGAGATCACTCACTGTGGTGCAGGTACATCCAGATGACAAGTCCAAAATGGATTTCACTGCTAATCATCAAGATGAGTATGCTATTTCATTCGATTTGGTCGAGAACAGATGAATAGTATCCTCAGTCAACGGAAAACCCATGTAGTTCAACGTTCATTAATAAATGAACAGGATAATACCAAATAGCGCACATAGTTCAAAACTCTGTACACTTATGACCAAATGCTAGTTTGTTCTCCTGACACTGACAAAATTAACATCCATTTGTGATGATTAAGTTCTTAAGCCATCAGATAATGCAATCGAAGCAATTATAATCAATCCCATTCGACAACCAAGTCAGACAGACACATAATTCAACATTATACAGGCTGGCATGCAGCAAGTGCATCAGCTCATTCAAGTTAACAAACTTCACAGCTGTATACAAAAAAAGTGGATTCAAATAGAAAAGTATCAAGGTAAACAAAACTGTAAAGGCGGAGAGAATAAAAACGTACGGCATCAAATAAAAATACTCAAAACTGTAACAGACAAACGGGATAAATGAAAAGCTCTCACACAAGTGGATCAGTTCAAATTGATGCACTCTACAGCAGCATACAAAGACAGACAGCGAATATAAAAAGAGTGATATCAAAGTAGACAAAGTTGTGTGAGAGGACAAACAATCTGAAGATAATGGATAGTGCGAATATTCAAACTTTAGACGATGTTAAGGAGTGAATACATTTGTGCCGCTGTCACAGATTTTCAGCCATGCCACCAATAGTCAGTCCTTAACCACTGATTTCTTTTGTCCCGAATATCCAAGACAAGTAATCTACATCTCAATATACGGATCAGACTAACAGTGAAAGACTTCATCAACTGGTGCTACGTCTTGGTCTGGTCACCCTGAAAGCCCTCGCAACTTATCCAACTTCCCCAGTGTGGTACATCGAGGAAGCCAGTGGGTGGCTCGACATGAGTAGAACATGTCAAAGCCAACTCAGTCGGCTGAGGTTCACAATCTCATTGACCAAATTACCTGTTTTGCCTAGTACACTTCCCCAGACCTTAAAATTGCTCACATTGTGGTTTAACCAGACCTGAACACAGCTACAAAGACACTTATGATCAAAAACCAGTAATCGCTTCATGTCTTCTATTTTTAACGGCCGTCCCAGTAGTACAAAGGAATACAAAGAAATGCAGCCCAATATACTAGTCCTTTGATGGATAGTCAGATATCTCGTCAGTCGGCACCACAAATGATGCAAGTTAGGAGGTGCCGAACGGGCCTTCTGTATACGAGCTGAGATTTTGTCCATAAGCATCCCGTTTGGGTTGAGGTGGAAGACACATTCCACCACCTCTCTCTGTATCCTAAGGCTAGAAGGCCTTATAGCAGACCATTCCTGAAGTATCATCTTACAGTTGACAGGTGACAGTGAAACACATGCCAACCATACTCAGATTTCTTCTCAACATATTCAGAAGACCCTAGATTTTTTCAGAGTTCGTCCAGCAGGTCAATATCGTTTGTATACTCGAAGTCAGCCAGATGACCTCTAGCGAACAGATCAATCCCTGTAAAGTAATAGGTACTTAAGGTCATATCTATTAGTGGGTCAATAAGGACGCTAAATAGGAACGGTGACACTGGCTATCACTGAGGGATACCACTAGTTGTCGTCAATTCATATGAAAACTCCATAAGCCTACATCTACACGGATGCGTGTTTGAGTAGAGCGCTTTGATAAGCATTATATACTTGCTCGGTACTCCCTTCACAGTCATACACTGCCAGAACACCTGACAGTCGACGAGTCAATAGCCTTCCTCAGGTCCCAAAATTTGGTATCTGTCGACCACTGGCCGGTAAGTATGCCTGTGTTCCAGAACCTGTCGGAGGGTAAAAGAAAAAGATCTATGCACCATCAACTAATTCTGAAACCTGCCTAGTTTTCTCGGGTTTGGTGTTCTCGAGCCTCAGTTAAGCGTCGGATGACTATGAACCACAGGATCCTAGACACAATATTAGTCCAACTGTTTCCTTTATATTTGTCACAAAAATATTCCTCTTCCTTCTAATAAACCCAGAGTTACTTATAGCCTGGAAACAGCTGTGACCATGTCTTTAGATAACAAAAATCCATTTTGCAGACACAATCTGAGCTTCCTAGAGATTGCATATATTCTTTATTGTATCAACAAAAATTTATAGAGATCACACTAATTATTACAAGCGAACGTTTAACATCAATAACCAATCATCACTGAAGACTATAAACAAAGTTTAAAGATTCACGTAAGAATACCGAATAGATAGCGGTGCCTGAGCATACTCATTATCAACATAGGACCAGGCATTACTGCGTAACGGTCCGAGTTGTCACACCTCATATCAGCACATCAAGTAAAAAGGTAGTGAGGTGAAGGATGAAGATAAGTGAATGCAGTCAAAAGAAATATAAAGTACGAGAAGAAAGGAAAGAGGAGTGCAAAATGGTGAGATTCGGTATAGCGTTGTTAAGATGGGATAATGTGTGTATACATCTGCGCCACTGACTTCGGTTCTGAGCCATATCACCTAGGGTCTCCAACCACTGGTTCCTCTTGTCCCGTGGACCCCAACCACCTAGTCTGCATACTAATTAAAATTGTATTTATCAACTGTATAGCCTAAGAAGATAACCATGAATCTCATCTAGAATTAATAAAACTAGACATTAGTTACAAGGAATGCTTCATTCAGGTGGAAATATTACTGAACCATAACTTATATATATATATATATATATATATATATATATATATATATATATATATATGATTCACAATACTGTAAGATAAAATCACTGACAAGTATGAACGACTTGTTGTTTAATTTAAAACTGTCCAAATCGCCACTATCTTATCACAGTAACAACACATTTGTACTTCATCATTTAAAGAAGAAGAAGGTTACAAATATATAAATGAATTAACACACACGTTACTAAGAAAAGTGTATGGGTATATGGAATTTTGTACAACTGTCCGTGTAGTATATGTATATGTATAATCTTATCGATCAATGTTTGTTTTGTAATTCCTAGCATTAATTAAATGGTAGAATGGATTTTAATGAGTGTAAAGAATAGAATATAGTTCAATATTACAAGTTATACATTGACGATAACTACGCATATACACATTTCTACTTAATACTAAATAGTGTTGGACGCCCTAACCATATCTTAAAATCATTTCCAGTAGTATTTGTGATACAGTGTGTCAGATAGTCTTTCAATGCAGTCGTATGCTGAAATATATGCCACTTTTCAATCCTAACTTGACGAGTTGAACGCATTGGAAAATGAGAAATCAGAACTCAATGAGAAGCAGTCTTGAGTGAGACTCGACTACCGTATGAGGTTCAGTAAAGCTATCTGCGTGTTTAAACTCTGGTGAGTGGGATAGGGTTCAAAATTGAACCACTGCGGTATATTGTAATTCCATTTCAGTCTGTTTATTAGATATGGTATACAGTGAAGGGTTGAAAACCGTTTGGAAATCAAACTGGTCACACTAGTGAGTCATAGTAGCACCACACCAAATTGAAAAAACCAGTTCTCAACTAATCACCGAATTTGGGCTAACCCTCACTTCACCTAATTTACCTTGTAGACATAGATGGGGGCCGATCGCGTGTGAAATGTCCTCGCCACATCAGTACATGAAGATGTTTCCAGTAAGGCGAATTAGTAGAGGTAAAATAATCTGAATATTACATTTGTTAAACCTTTACAATACAAGATCAATAACTTTTCACAGAGTGGAAATGAATGAAATCATCATAGACTAGGTAGCAAGAGATTTCTATTACCATCTTCGTATGAAAGAGGAAGGACAGTGCGACTTCAAAGTGGACACATTTTTCATTTAAAAATGCTCATCTTTCGTGGATCGATTGCACATTTGATAATTTTACAGCTCTCTGAGTGTGAAATCTTATGAGTAGAACTGTAGACTTCATCGCGAGTGCCATCTTCAGTGCTGCTGCATGAGGCAGTGAATTTGGCATGATTATTTATAACGGTAGTGAACAACAGAGGAATGTTTGATTTATTTCATATGTTGGGATTGGTTTACTGTTGTATATCAAAGAAACGTGTCAGTGACACATTTTGATTGTTGCATTAATACATATAGAAGCCGAAAATACACAAGCGAATATTGAAAATATGGGAAGGGCTAAAAGTGATAAGATCGTTCTGCGCGATAACGCATATTTTCTCCGTTCTGTAAACATATATTTTGAAATAAAAATAGCAATCACAAACCATTTTCGTTGAAATCTGAAACCTCAATTAACTCACTTTGATTTCTGAGCACCACTCTTCATGAATAACTGCCCCATACACTCCCCACCTGAGATGTAGAAGTGCGGCAAATACTTTGTACATGAATACATACTATGGAAGGCCATTCCATGACAGACAGCATTTAACAACTATACAAATATTTGACAGTGTTGTGTTCTTTAGGCTCAGAGAACATAACACCGCCAGAACTCCATTTCTAATCTACAAATATTCTCTGTCATCTCTATATACAAATACATAATATATGCATACTGATCAACTGACTGATTAAAGCAACATAGAACCTTACACACAGGTGCATCGGACCAAGTTGCCACACTTTATAAAGAAGAGGTGGATGGAAAAAAAGTGATATCAAAGTAGACAAAGTAGTGTGAGAGAATAAACAATTTGACGATAGTGGTTAGTGAGAACATTCAAGCTTCAGAAGCCAGTTAGGATTGAATACATCTGTGCCACTGTCACACCACTGATTACTTTCATCTCGGGGCCCCCATCCAGGGAGTCTGCACCTCAGCACACGATTCAGACCAACAGTAAGAGACTTCATAGACTGATGCCACGTCTTGGTTTGGCAACCCTGAACACTTCCAACTTAATCCACCTTCCTCCACCACGGCACGTCGAGGTAGGCGGTGGCTCGGCATGCCAAGTACATGTCTAAACCATCTCAGTCGATGAAGGTTAACAACCTCAATAATCGACTTGCCTTTCGTGTCTAGTACGCTACATCTGGCCTCAACATTGCTCATACGGTGATTCCACCAGACGCAAGTAAAAACAAGGATGCAGAAGACAGGAAATACGGATTTTCAGAAGGAACACTATAATATATAGGAAACTCGATAACACACGATGATGACTTTTAGACACACGTGAAAATATTTTCTAAGCACTATAAAAAATACTCAAGAGAGAAATGAAGAACAACCGTACATATCATTTTGTAAATAGTGTTAAAACTTACATGATGGAATCATTCTTCAAATCAATTAATCCAAAAAGGAAAACGAAAATCCCGAGAATCGCAATCGGTAGCAACCATGCAGTGTAGAAACCAAGCCAGGCAAAATAGAAGGCTACAGCTTCACCGAAATAATGCCTAATAAAAAAAATTAAGAGTAGACGAATTAAATTGCATGTAAATTGTTTGTAAGTGGAGTTTATTTAAAAAGAAAGGTGATTTCTACTTCGACTTGTTAAGTTGTGATATATGGTCAACAGGTCACTATTGATGCAGATCTTAGCATTACTGAAAATAGCGGTCCAAGTTGTCATATGTCAGATCAGCACATTAAAATATGAGGTAACAAGATTACAGAGAGAAAAACAGAGAAAAAGAAGTGACCGAAAGTCGTTGAAAGTTGTTATAATGTGGAATAAGATTGTCACAACCTTCATAAAAAGCCCTAAATCTCTGAAAAAGTTTGTATAACCAAATCATCTTGCACCAAAGTTGAGAGATAAAGCAGATCAAACAACGTGTAAATATCAGTTGGTTGAAGGGAGCATTGGGGTCATGATGCATAAGCATGGTTGCGTTCGAAATGGCTTCCTTGACTTTAGAGAAAGCAAGTCTAGCTACGTTGTCTAGAGCCATGAACTTTGCAGTTCCTCGAATAAATCTGTTAGTGGTCTCATGACAGAGGCATAGTTGGGGATAAACCTTCGGTAATAACTTAACAGGCCGTTGAAAGTACGTAGATGTTTCACAGTGGTCGGCTCCGGATAGTTTGTGATTGGTCTTTGCGTCTGTCAAGTCCGCACCAGGACAATTCCTAAAAGGGCATTCAAATCTAGAAAGGCCGGGAAATATATATATATATATATATATATATATATATATATATATATATATATATATATATAGTATTTATTTTTGACGTTGCAATACACCTTCGTCTGTGCATTCAACGATTTGGTGATTGGAGGTAGTGTGTTCAGGCACAAGGATATCCACAAAGCGACATGGATTTCACCAGACACCAGGACACACTAAAATCAAATCGACTTTATCTCAATGTCAAGAAAATGGAGACGCAGTCTACTTAACACAAGGTCAAGAAGAGGAGCAGATGTAGGCTCAGACCACTATCTAGTGCAAGGAACCTTCCAAATCAAGTTAAAAGCCTTCAAGGAAGCTGGTGATAGACCTCAATTCAAGTACAACACTCGGAAACTGAAGGATGAAACTACAAAGGAGATCTTCAAGGCAGCCATCAAGACAAAATGGGAGACATCGAGCAACATCCCTGAAGAAACCTGTGTGGAAGAACACTGGAACTCTTTGAAAGCTATGTGGAAAGAAACCTGCACATCGTATTAGGAAGGAAGAAGAAAGAAGACAAGGAATGGATCTCGACGGATACCTGGAAGCTGATAGAGGAGAGGAGGATGGTGAAGCAGAAGATAAACCAGTGCAAGGATGCTCAACGACAAGAGGAACTGAGCACAATGTATAAAACACTGGACAGAAGTGAAGAAGAGTGCACGCAAAGACAAAAGACACTTCTACGAAACACTGGCAAGTGAAGCAGAACAGGCTGCAGGTAAGAGAGACCTGACGACATTGTATCAAATAACCAGGTTGCTATCAGGGAAGAGACCAACACAGATGAAACCAATAAAAGATGAAGAAGGAAATTTAATTACAAAAGAAGAGAAACAGAGGAAACGATGGGCCGACCACTTCAAGAAGCTCTTGAATCGACCACCACCTGCACTTCGTCCAGAAATACCACCTGCAGCCGCTGAATTACAAGTGAACATTAATCCCCAACGAAAATGGAAGTCCTGAACGCCATAAAGCTACTGAAATGCGGGAAAGCAGCAGGACCAGATGGAATACCGCCAGAAGCACTGAGAACAGATGCAGAGACAACAGCGGACATGCTCACACCACTATTGCAGAAGGTGTGGAAGGAAGAGAAGGTACCTGACGATTGGAAGAAGGGTTACCTTGTCAAACTGCCGAAGAAGGGAGACCTCAGTGCTTGCAAGAACTGGCGCGGAATCACTCTCCTGTCCACCCCAAGTAAAATATTAAGCCGCATCATCCTAGAGAGGCTTAAGGATGCACTGGATTCAAAACTGCGACCGGAACAGGCAGGCTTCAGGAAGTACAAATCATGTGCAGACCAAATTGCAACGCTTCGTATCATCATAGAACAGAGCGTAGAATGGCAATCAGCTCTCTACCTCAACTTCATCGACTTTGAGAAGGCCTTTGACAGCGTCGACCGAGAAGTAATTTGGAAACTGCTTCAATACTACGGAGTACCGCAAACCTTTATCCGCCTCATTCAACAACTATATGAAGATGCCACATGCCAAGTAATCCACAATGGGAAGCTCAGTGATGCCTTTGAAGTGAGGACAGGAGTGAAACAAGGTTGCCTACTATCCCCCATGATATTCCTTATTGTGGTGGACCGGATCATGCAGCAAACAGTAGACAGCGAGAAGAGGGGGATACGCTGGACTGCGGAAAAGAACCTAGAAGACTTGGATTTCGCCGATGACTTGTGCCTAATGTCACACAAACTTGAAGATCTGCAGGCAAAAACTAACAAGTTGATAGAAGAGGCAGCTAAGACGGGACTTCAAGTGAATATAGAGAAGACAGAAGTGATGAAGATACCGCACCACCACCATCACAACAACAACAACAAACTCCAATCACCGTCAACGGGAGAAACTTGAAGGAAGTAACCTCCTTCACTTATCTAGGAAGCACTGTTTCAACTACAGGCGGGACGGACGAGGACGTCAAAGTCAGAATCGGAAAAGCAAGACAGGCGTTCATTAGCCTGAAACCAGTGTGGAGATCTTCTGCACTCAGCATGTGGAACAAGATACGGATTTTCAACACCAACGTCAAGTCAGTGCTCTTGTATGGCTCAGAGACTTGGCGCGTCACGAAAGGCATTTCCAATAAACTACAGACATTCATCAACAACTGCTTGCGCTCGCTGCTGAAGATCAGATGGCCAGAAAAAATAAGCAACAAGGAACTCTGGGAACGAACCAACCAAGAACCTATCACGCAACAAATATGCAGGAAGAAGTGGAGATGGATTGGCCATGCACTGAGAAGGCCGACTGAGGACATCACGCGTCAGGCCCTCGAGTGGAATCCCCATGGGAAGCGACGAGTTGGACGTCCGAGGGTGACATGGAGGAGGTCATGCGAGGAGGAAATGAGAGCTTCTGGGCTGTCGTGGAACCAGGTTCAAAAGATCTCGGAGAACAGAGGTCACTGGAGGCGTGCTACCGAAGCCCTATGTTCCACTAGGAACCCAAGGGACTAATAATAATAATAATAAATACACCTTCGTTACCTTATTTATTGTTATCAATTTATCAAGAAACTGAGCGATCATCAAGAAGTGGAACCTGAAGGTTATTGTTCTGTTATCCATATAGAAATACATTTGGTCCACGGTAATAATTTTTTTTAAACTGTTTTTTTCTACCCCTTCCACCTCACTCCCTGTGTCACCCGTTGTCCAATTAAAATAGACGACGAAATATCCCATGTTGTTTGTTGCACGAAATTCAAATGTACTATAAAATGGAGCAAACTGAGGACGGGTTGCTTCGTTTTCATGATGAGCGACGATACCATCCAGTGTTGTAACAGAAAACGAATCGATTTTTATGGAGCGTTTTTCTCTCGCCGCGTTTCCGTCCTCAGAGTCTTTGAAGGTCGTTCTGAAGGAATATGAGAAACAGACGTACACACGTAAGTTGTGCGAGATTCACATTTACAAGGTGACCGAAGAGCTTACGTTAAGATTGGCTACTATAAGGCTAGTGAACGCCGGTCAATAGTTGGTGTAGTTACAAGAAGGTCAGTTCTGTTTGTTTTCATCATTTACTTCATAGATTATCTCTGAAATGTTCTTGTCCGGCGTTCGTGCTTGCGAAGTTCTCGGAAGGTTGCTGGATAGTTACTCGGTGGCTGTTAACTCATAATCATCCCTGTAATTCACTGCTTTATGACAACAGTTTGTGGGCGCGTAAGTTGATAGGAGCTGAATTGGAGAGCATAAGGCCGTTGCTGATATCCGGAACGGCTGCATTTAATGTTGTTGATTTCGTCTATGCACACTATGGTAAACGACTGAATAATCAAGATGTGTTCAATTTGCGCTATCGCCTCTTCGCTCAGTGTAATTTGACCGGTAACTGAATTTTCCCTTGTAAGGATATTGTTGTAGGCAGTCTTGAAAAGTTGCAGGCGCATATAATCAGTCAAGGTGGATCAGCATCCTTCTCTGTCACAGAGGGTGGAGATCTGAAATCATTTTTTTTCGCTACAGCCGATCAACTGAAAGTAGATGAAAACTGTCTTGATCTACTGGGTCTCGATGGCACTTACAAGACCAATAATGAGAATCTTTTTCTCTACGAGTTAATAGCCCTCAACATCAACTTTATGGCTATTCCCATAGCTTTTGCTTTCATAATCAGTGAGACATCAGAACTGATTGGTGCATTTGTCAGGTTTTTAATAATATTTTATTGGAAGCTGCAGAGGTTGTTTTCACAACAGATGACTCTCCTGCTATTTCGTCGGCATTATGCCAAGCTTTTCCGCACTCACATCACCTCCTGTGTCGTGTGCACATCATTCGCAACGTGATAAAAAGGGTAAGTTTGTGTACAAAAGAATGGTGAAAATTTTAATGTTTGCAGAGATTACAACAGGAGGTGCTGCAGTACTTCTTTCGAATGTTGTACACAAAGGATATGGAAAGGTTAATATCTTTTAATGTATCATTTTTTTGCAGCTTCGAAAGTTGTCTTGTTCAAATAGAGACTATGGATACAACGTTTCACAGGTACTTAGTGTCCAACATCTTACCTCGTAAGCACAAGTAGGCTACTGCTTACCGTCCGCAAGGCATTCTTTTGGAACAAAATAACACCAACTTCGTCGAAACAACACATCGTACGTTGAAGCTGCATAAGTTGACCATGAAAATGCCAGTACATCGCGCAATACTAAGCCTTATGCTGCTTAGTGGTTAGTGGATTCAGGGGCGCATTCAGAAACTGCTGCGGGATTGCAACAATAATTGTGAGCTGGGTGACCAG